TATGGACACCCATTTCTCCTTCGTTCTGCCTGATGTGGGCATTCCCAGCTGAAACTGTGAACTTGCCAGAGTACATGCAACTTTTCTTCTCCCCTTTGGCCACCATCTTTGGCCTTTATCTTTTTGATGGTTTTATTTCCTCAGATTAGGATTGTCCACTGATTTTTTAATGCTAAATTCAATTTTTCTAAAAGACTCATTGTATTTATTTGAAAGGCACATATACAGAGAGATTTTCATCCTCTGTAAACTGCCCAAATGTCCAAAATTGCAGGGGTCAGGTCAGGCTAAAGCCCAGAGTCAGGAGCTTCATCGTGGCCTTCCATTGGGGTGCATGGGCCCCAGGACTTGAGTCATCTTTTGCTGCATTCCCAGGCACATCAGCAGGGAGCTGGATTGGAAGTGGAACTGGAGCCATTGAACATCTAGGATGTTGGCATTGCAGTCAGTAGCTTCACCTGTATGCCGCAACACTGGCTTCAATTTAAAAAAAAAAGATCAAATGATCTGAAAGGCAAAGTGGCTTAGAGGGAGAGTCAGCTCTTCCATCCTCTGATTCATTACCCAAATGCTGCAACAATCAGGACTGCACTGGCCTACAGCCAGAAGCCCAGAACACTGTCACTGTGTCAGCGGCACCGACACAAGCACCTGAGCCACCTTTTGCTGCTTTTGCCAGCACATCAGCATCAAATTATGCCACTCCCCTCTTAATTAATTTTTGCATTTAAAAATAGGTACTACAAAGGCCCAGCACAATGGCTCAACAGCTAAATCCTCACCTTGCCAGCACCGAGATTCTATATGGGTGCCAGTTCATATCCCAGCTGCTCCGCTTCCAGTCCAACTCCCTGTATGTGACCTGAGAAGGCAGTAGAGGATGGCCCAAAGCATTAGGACCCTGTACCCACATGGAAGACCTGGAAGAAGCTCCTGACTCCTGGCTTTGGTTTGGCTCACTTCTGGTCATTAGGGCCATTTCGGGAGTGAACAAGCAATAAATCTGATATGCCTTTCCAATAAAGATAAATCTTAAAAAATTGTACTACATTTATGTAATACAAAATTCAAAAGGAGCAGATTGGCATGTAGCATAACACTAATCCCCAGTCTGTGATGCTGGCATCCCATTTGGACACTGATTCATGTCCCACTTGTTCCACTTTCCATCCAACTCCCTGATAATGTGCCTGGGAAAGCAGCAGAACATGGCCCAAGGCCTTGGTACCCTGCACCTACTTAGGAAATCGGCCAGTGGATAGAAGATTCTTTCATTCATTCCCTCAAAATTTGCCTTTCGAATGAAAAAAAAAAAAAAAAGGTTAAGACTGTTGCAATGGCTGAACTGGTTAATCTTCACCATGTAATACCAACATCTCAAATGGACACTGGTTCATGCCCGAGGTGCTCCACCTCCAGTCTAGCTTCCTGCTGAAGGCCTACGAAAGCAGTAGACAATGGCCTACAGCCTTGGGACCCTGCACCTGTGTGGGAAACCCAGAAGAAGCTCCTGGCTCCTGACTTTGGATTGGCTCAGCTCTAGCATTTGTAGCCATTTGGGCTGTGAACCAGTGGATGGAATATCTTTCTGTATCTCCTCTCTGTAAATCTGCCTTCCCTATAAAAATAGATATTTGGGGGCCCGATGTGATGGCATAGCGGCTAAAGTCTTCACTTTGAACACACCGGGATCCCATATGGGCGCCGGTTCTAATCCCAGCAGCCCCGCTTTCCATCCAGCTCCCTGCCTGTGGCTTGGGAAAGCAGTTGAGGAAGGCCCAAAGCCTTGGGACCCTGCACCCATGTGGGAGACCTGGAAGAGGCTCCTGGTTCCTGGCTTCGGATCGGCTCAGCTGCAGCCATTGAGGCTGCTTGGGGAGTGAATCATCAGATGAAAGATCTTCCTCTCTGTTTCTCCTGCTCTCTGTATATCTGACTTTCCAATAAAAATAAATAATTTTTTTTAAAATAGATGTTTTTAAAATTGATTTTTAAAATTTCAAAAGGAGCAAGAGTGTGTTACAGTGACTTCCTGGGCTGTCCTCCAGTTACAAGTTGCTGTCCTTGGTGGTGATCATTGTTAGTGTATACCAGCAAACCTGTGACATACATGTACAAATCACAGTATATAGCACCTTTTTTTCTCTCAAATGGTACAACACATTGTGCCCTTCCATTCCCCCTTTAAAAACTCACTTTTGACAATTTCCTGGGATAAAATAGAACATGAAATTCACCTTTTTGAGAAAATTTTTAATTGTTTGAAAGGAAAAGAGACAAATCTTCCATCTACTGGTTCACTGTCCAGCGGCAACAACCGGGCTGGACCAGGCAACAATCAGGAGGATTTCCCACTGAGTGTCAGAGCCCCCCGGTACATGGGCCGCCATCTGCTGCCTTTCCAGGCACATTACCAGCTGGGTTGGACACAGATAGCTGCAGCTAGAACCAGAGCTCCAAGTATGTTGCATGCCAGCACTGCAGGATGCAGTTCAACCTGCATGCACACTTTTAAAGTATAAAATTCAGGGCCTGGCACTGTAGCCTAGCAGCTAAGGTCCTCACCTTGAACGTGCCAGAATCCCATATGGGCGCCGGTTCTAATCCTGGCAACTCCACTTCCCATCCAGCTCCCTGCTTGTGGCCTGGGAAAGCAGTCGAGGATGTCCCAAAAGCTTTAGGTTCATGCATCCATCTGGGAGACCCGGAAAAAGTTCCTGGCTCCTGGCTTCGGATCAGCACAGCACCGGCCGTTGTGGTCGCTTATGGGGTGAATCATGGGACAGAAGATCTTCCTCTCTGTTTCTTCTCTCTATATATCTGACTTTGCAATAAAAATAATTTTTTTAAAAAAAGTATAAAATTCAGTACTTAGTATATTCGCCAGGTTGTACAGCCTCTTTGCTATCGTTAACACTCAACAAATACATCCAGACCTAACACAAAAATGCTCATTATTTTTTTCATTCTTAGCATCTATGTAATGTCCCTCTTGTTATTTATTTCACCCTTCATGAGTAAGCTAGCTAATACTTTATTTCAAAGAATCTATTCTTGTTGTTTATCAGTTATAATCTAAGTGAGATGCTTAACTGCTGCTAAAGGGTGTGAATTTTCCTCTGAGTGCTTCTTTAGCTGAATTCCAAAGGTTCTGATCTGAGGTGACTGTCTCACCCTGTAACCCAAGTTCTTTATTTTGAGTGTTTCTTACACTAGCATATGGGTCAGTGTTTTCATCTTAGAAATTGCTCTTATAACCATGACCTTTTAAAATTTATTATCAATAGACTCTCCCATTAACAATAATGAAATCATATACAGGTGGTTCCCAACTTAGGTTGGTTCATCTTCCTACTTTTTGACTTTATTGTGGTGTGAGAGAAATACACATTCAGAAGGAACTGACCCTAATTTTGAATGTTGCTCTTTTCCCAGACCAGCAACATGTGATGGAATGTTCTCACAGACACTGAGCACAGCACAGCATAGGCCGCAGAGCCACAGTCAGGAGGCTAACAGCCAGTAACACACAGTGTCATATGCTGCCAGCGGTTTTTGGATGTTCTGTGTTTATATCCATCAGCCTACAAAAATATTCATCTGTGTATTCATGAGATAATCAAGAAATTATCATAAAATAGGTTTTATGTTAAATGGTTTACCCAAAAGGAGGCTAATGTGAGCAGATTAAGGCAGACTAGGTTAATGTGTGGTGCTCAGTAGGCTAGGTGAACTAAATGCACTCTCAAGCTGCAGTGTGTGATTTAGGATCTGCTTATCGGGATACAGTCTGTGGTAAGCAGGAGAACATCTGCTTTTCCTCTTCTCCACTACACAGGTTATAGTTATCTTTCACAGTATTTCCCTTTGTACTGCTGAACTTTTTTTTTAAATCCAGTTCTAGAAGTACAAATTGACATTCAAATCGGGGGAAAAATTGTTCCAGAGAGTTCTGTTTAGACTTTATTCGCTCTTCTACTCTTCTCTCTTCACCAGGCTGTTTTCCCCCAGGAAAATGAGGGCTCCGTTGATTGATGGGCATCTTGACAGCTGCCACCTCCACAAGGGACAGAAGTCACAGCCTGAGGCTCTTATCAGCCATGCTCAGAGCATCCTGCCACAAGTCCCCAAATAGCATCCTGGGCTTATCCTGCCTGCAGTCCGAGGCCCAGCCCCTGGCCCTTCTCCTGAAACACCGGGTTAAGCTTGGAGCCCCTCCAGATGAGTGAAACCTCTTCATGCCTAGTTCTCCATGATTATCACAAGACTTTTTGAGTCCCCCCCCCGACATCCCCTCGCCCTTAATTCTCTCTCCCCCATATCGGAAAGTATTTTCATATTAAACAGCTTCAGAAGAAATGCTAGCAGGGACCTTGAGGCTTCTCCACATCCTGCCTGGACTAGTGTTCATTCACACTTGACCATGGGCACACTTGACTATTCCCCTGCCTTCCAGCATGTCTGTTTCTCCCCCTGGGCTCTTTCCAGACTCCAGAGTTCAAGCCCAAGGAAACAGAGCTACCAAACGGTCACCTAGTGAGGCAGAGCCACCTCTGGTAACACAAAGGAGTTTCATCTGGCGCTGGGAAACCCTTTTTTCTGCAGGGAATCAAGCTTGCCGTGCTTATTCCCGTCTCTGCAGTCCATCGCTCACATCCCATCTGTCTGGGGCTCCTCTAATTTATCATGGACACCCCACACGTGCTGGTGCATCACAACACATTACTTGTTCACAAGCAGCAGAGCACAGAAGAGCTTTCTTAATTCTAGCAAATGAATTGGTATATTCAGGGATCCTAAGAGAAACAGGAAATACCTTTGAAGTCTTTTTGGTGCTCTTTGAAACAAATTCAAATTCAGTGTCCTGGGGTGGGTGGTGGGGAACCGCTTCTCCACTAGCCAGACAGGCAGGGAATGTGCGCACTGAATACCCAAGTGACTAGTCAAAACAGGGTCCTCCCCCCAACCGTCCTCACTACTCTATAACCATTGAGGCCACATATCATTCAGGGTTTATTCAGTGTGTCATGGTGGGGAGGGAGCTTCCCCAAAACACCTTAGACATATTTGAGCATCTCATCAGCAGACTCAGGACGTTAGCTTGGATCTGACAGTGGCTGGGATATCTTAGGGATCTGGCATGAGCCGTGCAGAGGCCCCAAGCATGACCACCACCATGCGTCCATAGAGAACTAAACAGCTTAGCTGGGTGGAGTCTGGCAGTCAGGTGGATCCTGGGGTGGCTCACAGGAGGCCACTTCACCCTTGTCTCCTTTTGGGAAGATGACTGCAGCATATGTCACAGACTTGGAGGAAACGTGGACCTTCGGAGGCAGAGGAGGCCCTGGGGATGGGACATCAAGAGCTAGCTCTCTGTAGGCAGCACTGTCGAAGGAAATTGGTGAATGGAGCCTGGTGTATGGCACATCCGAAGGTTCTACCACAGCCAGTCCACAATCACTGATGTGGGGGACCGCTGAAGAGGGGTCCTACGGTAGAAGCAAGCACATCAGGCAAAGAGAAAAGGCCACCCTCTGCCCCGCCACCCTTGGTGAGGAGCCTGAGACCACACCGGATCTGTCTCTCAAAAAGACTTGCATCTATGAGTGGCCATGTGGGCTTCATTGTTTAAAGATATTTCAGGCCCCACATTTTTCCCCAACTCTGGGAAAGTGGGGGACCACTAATGTCAAGTGTACAGGCTTGAGGAAGAGATTCCAAGAGGTCTCCACTTCTCCAGGGTCTCGGTGAGAGATGCTTGGACGGTCTGGGGGTGGGGATGAGGGTGTGAAGGTCCTCTTACCGTGCCTGAAGCATTACAGCTCTGGAATGATCCACAGACAGAATGTCTGGTTGCTGGCAGGACAGACAGCAACACCGTCAGCATCCAGAGTGGGCTCTGAACCCAGCTCTCACTTCCTGCAGACCCTCCTTCTCACCCTCCCTAGCCCGTACCCCAGCCTGTAGCTCCTTCACACCACTGTACTTAGCCCCTACCCCACCTCCATCACCTGTCCTGCAGTCACAGTGCCCCTCTCCTCACCCCCCAGTTCCTATCTTTCTCCAGGTCTGCTCCCACGGAGTCCCCTTCCCTCCCTTGCATCCCTCAGGTAATTTGATCCCATTTACAAAGCTGGCTTCTGCAGGAGTGGCAGGGCCAGAGTGGGGCAGGTAGAGTCTGCTACTTACCTTTCCTTTTGGCCATCACAGCAAACAGCACCACAGCCACCACCAGCACACCCAGTAGGAACACAGCACCCCCGATCAAGGGGAAACTGAGGGACAGAAAAGGGTAGGAGGCTTAGCCTTCAATCCTACAAGGAATGCTAGCCAGGAGGCCCAGAACACTGGAGAAGGGTCATACCTCAGGGACCCACAGCGAGAAGGAAGAGATGAAATGAGGTGGGCAGTCCACACAGGACATAAAAGAGACACGTAATTAGGGTGTCCTGGCTGAAGAGTCAGCAGAATGAAGAACCCAGAGCCGAACTTGGGGAGGGGACTGATCATCCTGCCAATCAGTTTCCCAAGAATGGCAGGAATCATGTCTCCCCTTTGATGTAACCTAGAGCTTGCAACAGGTCCTGTCTCATCACCACTCTTCTCCCGACCACCCACATCTGGGCATAGCGATACCTCTTCTCATGCTGCCTGGGTTCCCAGGGGCTGGCACTGCCTGGGAGGTGTGCGGTAGGGTCCTCAGCCACACTGCCAAGTTTGTAGGTCTCCTCACTCTGGCCAGCAACTGAGTCAGAAGGAAACATGTAAAGAGCACCTAGCCCCCATGATGCTGAGATCTCAGGGACTGGGAACAAGGAGCTGAGGAAGAGATCTCCTCCACCACCTTCATTCTTCCACCTGCTCCATCTCATTCCCTTCTGGGCTTGTTAAGCTGCTCAGAATATGTAGAAACAGCCATTGCCATGCAATGTCCCACTCCTCTTCCCGCCCCAGAAAAGAGCTCTCCAACTGTCGCCCTCCAAAGTGATGTAACTGCCAGCCATTTTTGGCCTCAAATAGGCCCTCCCCACATAGCTATCATGCTGGGACCACACCTACAGTGTGCATGAGTCCCAGGCTAAGCTCTGTCCTCCAGCATAGCGGGAGCTCCAGATCATTCCTAATGGGTTGTGAGAATAGCTGACCCTATGCTGGGAGCCAGAGACTTGGTTTTTGTTAGAAGGCTTCTGACATCCCTGCCATATCCTGGTCCCCTGGGAGTAGGATTCAGGTTTCTGTTGGTTGAGAGATCTGTCTTAGGAACCTTGCCAGTCCTTTTCAAATATCTGGGATAGGAGCCTTGCTTTGCTGAACAATTCATAATGCCTACTGCCTTCCTCATACCAAACTACCCGCTGAAGGTGTGGCGGCACCATTTCTACTGCCCTATCAGGCCACATTGGGCAACCATCTCTAAAGCTAAGCGCCTGTCTGAACTGCACCCCACAGCCTGCTCTACCAGTCTATGTGAATGTCACTCATCAATATCACCTGCCCCATCGCAGCAGGTGGGAGCTCCAAGCACCTTCTTCCGTGCTCCCTCATCTCACATCTCACCTTGTCACAGTCTGCCTTCCCAGAGATTCAAGTATTCAGTCTAGTCACTCAGAGCATGAAACAATAAGGAGGACAAGGTGTGAGGAACGATTAGCAGGTGAATATAAAGTAATAATCATGGGCTCAAGATAACAGGGACTTTAATCACAACTTAGTCACCCTGTTACTTAAGGGAGAAAAGGGAATATGCCTCCCTTAGTTTCATTATGTGAGGGGACTGGGCACAAAGTACTTGAGTAAAAAAAGGCCTAACAATGAGAAAACTTCAACATGTACAACAGCAGAGCAACGGCAGTGTCTGCTGCTGGGAACTGGCCATTTTTGCACCAAAATAAATTTTTAATAACCTATTTTATTGAGAAAAATGGTAAGTATTTTAAACTTCTTTAAATAAATTCTTGGGCACCAAGGGTTACAGGTTGAGAGATTGGAGCCTGTAAAAGGGCTTTCTCTAGGGAGAATAATGGCTTCAATGGCAATGACCTTCTTCCCACCTTCAAAACCATGAGCTGATCAGTTCAGCCCAGAATGTAAGCTGCCTAACAGGAAAACCCACCCACAGGCTCAGTTAAGACTTCAACAATTAATTATAAGTTCAGTTCGTTTTAAGCTATCAGGTATGTTGTTATGGGAATTAAAACACAAACAAACCAAAAACCCTCAAGGGTATTGGAAATGCTGACCAAAATGGCGGGACCTTGGTGGGAGGAATGGGGAGTCCACTGTGGGAGGAGCAGGGCAGGCTCTTCCGCTGATTTATCTCCCACTTCCCAATCAGCTTGGTTTCCGCTCCCTGCAGAGCTGTCACAAGGATATTTCCTCCCAATGCCACCCCGAATGGCCTCCACCCATCAGGGACCCAAGAACCCCTGGCAACAGAGGTGGGTGGTGAGGCAAAGTTGCACGGTGGGAGGAAGCAGGCCATGGACCACTCACCTTGGGGTAACACCACTAGAGAGATACGGTGTAGGGTCTGGGGCCCCGCGGCTCCCTCCACCATGCAGCCGTACTCCCCAGCATCCTCTTCTTGCAGGCTGACCATTTCCACCTGCAGGAGGCCCCCGCCCAGGTCGGTGAGGAACGTGCGCCCACCCCCTGGGCCTCTGCGATCCACAGCTGAGGTCACCAAGGGCTGGCAGCTGGCGGCTGAGAAGCGGCACCACACCTTCTGGGCTTTGACATCCTGCAGCCGGTAGTGGCACTGTACTAGAATGGAGCTCCCTGTTTGCACCTGCAGCAGCTCAGGCCGGCTGACTACAGAGCCCTGACCTGGGGGAGGAATGGAAGTAGCAATGTTGGGCAGGAGCAGAGTACTTCCTCCCACCTCCAGCCTACCCCACCGGCATGGTGACCCCTGGGATCTCCACATGTGAGTGTAGCATCCACAGCAGTACCAGCCCCTTCTGCACCTTACCTGCTAGTCCCAGGAGCAGCAGCAGGAGCAGCTGGAGGTCCATGGCTGGACAGGGAGATGTCAGCTCCAGGGCTTGTCTGGGCACTGACACAGCTTTCCTTGGAGGGCAGGAAATGCCAGCCTTCCCCAGTCACATGGGGCTGTCCACGGCTAAAGGGACAACAGGGTGGGAGGCAGGGACTGGGGTGGGGAGAGGGAGCTCTTCCAAGCCCAGGTTGGCTCAAGTATTCAGAAATTGATCCTGAGGCAAGGTGGAGTGAGAAAGCAGATTCCCTGGGCACTGCACCTGACTGAGGAGTGAAATGGGAGAATCATCACGGCAGCTAGAGGGCAATGAGGAAGAGAAATGATCTTCAGGGTCTTTCAGATACAAAGTGATGCAGAGTTGTCAAGTGCCCTCAGCATGGTCAGGACATTCTAATTCCAGGTTCTTCCACCACCAACCCCACCTGAGCCTTTAGGGGACTGTCCCTCTTGCTGCACATCTTCACAACACAAGTGTCACCTGGATGGTGTGCCCTGGACTGGCTCACTCACTTTTTGTTTGGGGCAAGAGGCTCTTTGTTTACTAATCACTTCTGATCTCCCATCTCTGGATCACTCTCCTATCGCTCCCAACAGCCAAGGTTGACCCAGGCCGAAGCAAGGAGTCAGGAATTCCATCCTGGTTCATCCATCCAGGGCTAAAAGGGTCAAAGTACTTTAACCCTCTTCTTCCACTGCCTTCCCGAGTGCATGAGTAGGAAGCTGTAGCAGAAGGGTAGCAGCTGGGACTCACATCAGGCACAGGTTCCTTCCGCTTTTCCTGCAGCTCCTTAATTAGTTGGATACTGAATCTTACATATTCATCTCATTCTCATATCTTTTCCATCTCTTTGTCCATTTTGTTCTGTCATCTGGGAGATTTCCTTATCTTTTTTTTCTACCCTTCTATTATTTCTAAAATTTCTTATTTTAAAAATTATTTACTTATTTGAAAGGCAAAGTTACAGAGAGAGGAGGGGAAAGACAGAGAAAGAGAGAGATGTTCCATCTGCTGCTTCCTGCCCCGCTCCACAATGGCTGGGGCAGGGTCAGGCCACAGCAGGAACCAGGAGCTTCTTCTGTGTCTCCCACGTGGATGGCAGGGGCTCAAGGATGTGGGTCATCTTGTGCTGCTTTGCCACTCATTAGCAGGAAGCTGGACCGGAAGTGGAACAGCTGGGACTCAAACTGGCACCCAAAGGGGATACCGGAGCTGGATATAGATGACAGTTTTACCTGCTATGCCATAGCACTGGCCCCAATCTTTTAGTCTTTATATTTTTAATCTGAAAAATCTCTGTTACTCTTCAAGCATTTCTTATTTATAACAAATAGATGTGGTCCACTGTTGGAACAGAGGTGACCAGACAGGATCCGGGACTCCAACACGCTGTGCACCAGACAACTTATTAGGGAGTGACAAAGTTTCTTTCTTTCTTCTTCTTTAGCAAAAAGGTATATGTTTGTTTATTTGAAAGGCAAAGTGGTAGTGCGATTCTTTATCTACTTGTTCATTCCCCAGATACCTATGATAGCCAGAGCTGGGCCAAGTGGAATCCAATTCCAGCCGAGTGTCCCACGTGGGCATCAGGGCCCTAAGCACATGAACCATCACCTGTTGCCTCCCAGGGTGCATGTTAGCAAGAATGCTAGACCAGAATTGGAGGCTAAACACAAACATAGGTGCTCCAACGTGGATTGGGCATATGAAGCAGCATATTAACTGTAGTGCCAAATGGCTATCCCAAATGTTGTTTCTTTTAACTTCCCCAAACCCCTGTGAAGTATGGGGCAGTTATGGATTGGCCAGTTGGTTTTTTACACACAGAGTCCTGGGTGTGTTTGTGAAAATGTTTAATACCCAAGAGGCAAAAGCCAGGAGGTGGTTTTCCCGCCTTCCAGACAGACACTGTGCCCCTGCCACACACACACACTCTCTCTCTCACACACACACACACACACACACATCCTTGCTGCCAGGACCTTGGGGAACAGGATGCAGGCAGAGGAGCCCCTTGCCAGAGCAGAATCAGGCATCTTGGTAGCCAGGTGGCACATGTATAGGCTGGGTGGCTTCTCCTTCTATCTGAGGTCCTCTTCTCTCATGTGTCTGTCAGCCCTAAGAAACACTAAGAGGTTCACATGATCCCTCAGCTGCACCCCACCCCTGCCCGCCCTCCCCACCTCTCCCCACCCCTGCCCGCCCTGCTGGCCCGCTGTACTCCCTCCCAGCTCACCAGTCAGGGTCTGCAGCAGGTGCCCTGAGTGGCAGCCACCATCCTGGCCACCGGCTGGAGCTGTCCCCGTGTTCCGCCCGCGCCAGGCCACAGCCCAGAGGGCACTAGCTGCTAGAAGCTTGCTGAGAAAGGTGCAGGCCAGCAGGAGCAGCATGGCAGTGGATGGGAATGAGGTCTCTCCTTCTGAGGGGCTCCTTGGAGGACACAAGAAGGGCAGAGGGGAGCTATGGATCACCTACAGCCATCAGTCTGCCTTCAGGGGAAGGAACTGTAAGCTTCTCGGGGCTCAGGCGACTTCCCCAACCAGCACCATCTGTGATGGAGGAAGCTTATGGGACCTGCAGTCAGGAGACTTCCAGGCCCTTGCCTTGCTTGGTGTACCTAAGCACATCTCTTCCCTTCCTTGCCGATCAGTTCTCCTTTGTTCCCCTTAGTATGCTAGGGAGTGTGTATGTCTGTGTGTATGTGCCTATGAGTGTAAATGTCTATGTGAGTGCGTGTATGAGAATATCTGAGTGTCAGCATGAATGTATATGTGTGTATGCATGTGTGAATATTTGTGTCTGAGTGTGTGTATATGCATGTGTGTGAGAATATGTGAGTATGTGTCTGAGTATGATTGTATATATGTGAGTATATGTGAGACTATGTGTCTGAGTGTGTATGTGTGTGTGTGCAAGCTTGGGCACTCAGCGGTTATATTACCAGTGTGCAAACAACAAGACTCAGGCAGGGACCAGTCAGAAAGGATGAAGTGCAGAGCACTGGGATTCCCTGTTTCATACTGGAGGATTAAAACTCATCATTGCCAAATTGTGCGGAGCCTGGGTGTCATCTATTTGGGCGCTCTTGGAACAGCAGCTCAGGACCAACTGTCGTAGGAATGATTTCAATGTCCCAACAGGGGCACAGGATCAGACACACACAACCTGGCCAGCTGGAAGGAGCTTTAGGTTCTCTGCACCTGGGGTTGGTAGTTCCGGGACCCCTGTCTCACCCCTGGCTGGGCTCTGCAGGGCAGGGGTCTGCACCTGGAGATGCTGTGCTCCACGGGAGCACCCTCGAAGCTCCCGGACTCCTCTGGGGCCCAAAGGTCTGCAACGTTTTCATGATCCAGGGGGTCTGTGGAGACAGAAGGCAGGCTAGGCAGACAGAAGCCCTGTGGATGGGGTGAGCCCTGTGGCCTCTGACCTTGAGTGTATAGAGGTCATTAACCTCTATGAGCCTCCATTGCTTATCCCGGAGTACGGGGAGGAGGAGGATTCAGCAGAGTGCCCGGGCTCTCAGCTCCTACCCTGCAGCACGCAGCAGCCTTAGAGGAGAGCAGGTGGAGCAACAGATTTCCTATGGACACAAGCCAAGAGTTAAAGCAACCACGTTATTCTCTGCCACCCTCCTAGAGGTCAGCTGAGCCCCACACCTTTCCAGACTCAACACTTGGGTCTCCTTGCCCTGCTATACTTGGAAATATGGTGGACTGGAGGTGCAGTGGGGGGCTGGCAGTTTCTCCTCCCCCTGCAACTTAGGCAATGCCTCCTCCTTACCCAGCTTGCATGATGAAGGGCCGCCTGGGCGGAGGGGCAGGAAGTGGGAAGAGGGGAGAAACATGACACCTCCTCCCCACCCCCTAACCCGCACCCCACGTGGTTCTCCCTCGAGACCCAGTGGAGTTTGGAGTCTCAGATCCCTGTGCAAAGCTCAGAGGGGAGAAGCATCATGCTTTGGCACCCACTGAGTGGGGTGGAGCGTGGGGGTGGTGGCAAATGTTTGCTGGTGGAATTGTCAATTGCTTGGCCAGGGAAGAAATGATTAAGGGCCACTGACAGGCACAATTCAGAAAGGTTGTGGACATGGAATCAAAGGACAAACTTAGCTTTGGTGAAAAGAAATTGAAATCTGGGCACATGAAGAGTCTTCCAAAAGTTCACAAAACGTGCATACTATGAAAAAAAATGGCTCAACTGGCTAATGCTCTACCTGCAAACACCAGCATCCCATATAGAAGCCAGTTTGTATCCTGGCTGCTCCACTTCCCATCCAGCTCCCTGCTTGTGGCCTGGGAAAGCAGTAGAGAATGACCCAAAGCCGTGAGACCCTGAACCCATGTGGGAAACCAAGAATAAACTCTTGGCTCCTGGCTTCAGATCGCCTCAGCTCAAGCCATTGTGACCATTTGGGGAGTGAGCCAACAAATGAAAGACCTTCCTGTCTGTAAATCTGCTTTTCCAATAGAAAATATATCTTTTAGGGCCCGGCACAGTAGCCTAGCGGCTAAAGTTCTTGCCTTGCACACATGAGGATCCCATATGGGCGCCAGTTCTAATTCTGGTGCCCCCACTTCCAATCCAGCTCCCTGCTTGTGAACTGGGAAAACAGTTGAGGATGGCCCAAACCTTTGGGACCCAGCACCCACACGGGAGACCCAGATGAAGCTCCAGGCTCCTGGTTTCGGATCAATTCAGCACCAGCCATTGCAGCCGTTTGGGGAGTGAATCAATGGATTGAAGATCTTCCTTTCTGTCTCTCCTCCTCTCTGTATATTTGCCTTTCAATAAAAATAAATAGATCTTTTTTAAAAAAAAAGTAAATCTTTTTTTTTTAAGATTTATTTTTATTATTTTTTTATTGGAAAGGCGGATATACAGAGAGGAAGATCTTCCATCCGATGATTCACTCCCCAAGTGACCGCAACGGCCAATGCTATGCCAATCCGAAGCCAGGAACCTCTTCCGGGTCTCCCACGCGGGTGCAGGGTCCCAAAGCTTTGGGCCGTCCTTGACTGCTTTCCCGGGCCACAGGCAGGGAGCTGGAAGGGAAGTGGGGCTGCCGGGATAGAACCAGTGCCCATATGGGATCCCGGGCATGCAAGGCGAGGACCTTAACCACTTGTGCCACCGCGCCGGGCCCAAAACAGTAAATCTTTTAAAAAGAAAACTATGCATGGATTTCAAAAACGTTTGCACTGAGATACATTTCGTCTACATTTTCCACAACGTTTTGAAGTCCCTTTACAGAAACATCACATGCATAGACAGCAAAGTGATAACACTCAAGTAAGGCCAAAGCTAGCTCTGACAGCGCCTTAATGCAAGTCAGAGAAAGACGCCCTCCCTGCAGGTGATACAGCCCTGAGTCAGGGAGACAGCCCAGCAAAAGGAGTTGGGACTGGATTTGGGCTTCCTGGCACCGTGAGTAACCTGTACAATCATCTCTGATGACCGTGTGTGGGGGCGGAGAGACCCACAGCGGAGGTTTTCCTTTGAGAAAGGATGCCTGGAGGATGCCTCGGAGCCCGGAGAGCGATCCTATTCACAGACACCCAAACCACCAGGCCGGACCCAGGGACAGACCAGAGGTACGGCCAGTCACCCACTCACTTGAAAGCACCTCCACCAGGATCCTCTGGAGCGTGTTGGTCTCTCTGCCTTGGAGGCTCTGGCACTGGTAGAGACCTGCATCGTGGGCTTGAAGATTCCGCAGCGTGACAGTAAGGATGCCACCCAGGGCGTCATCCTTGATGGCTGTGCTCCCGTTCCGTCTCTTGATGAAGGACAGCACCCACCAGGCATGCGTGCTGACCACACGCTGGCACGGGCCCTTCTCGCCCAGCTGGCGGCACCAGGCCTTGCGCCTCCCCCAGTGCTCCACCGAGTTGTATGGGCAGGAGACCCGCAGGGACTGGCCCTCCACGCCCTGGAACACCGTGACGTTGTGGGCACAGGACAGCCCTATGGAGGAGGTACTCAGTTACACCTTCATTGCTTTACCGAATGAGCACTAAACACCTACCGTGTGCAACTTAGACAGAAACCACACCCTTAGAAGCTGGGGTTCTTACTCAAGCTGAAAGAGAAGGTGGCACTGTGAGGATGTGTGTTTACGGGGGGCAAGAGCTGGGATACCAGACTTCGGAGTCTGACTTTCTCGCTGTTGGACTTGGCAGGGCGTCTTCACAGACATCACTGCCCCTTGGTAGGCTTATTTCTGGTGATGTTCGGTGACCAAGTCCCGTCTGCTTCTGTTGTGCCCATCTGCTTCCTGTCTAGGGGCACCAGGGCCTCTCTTCTGCCTCTGCATCTCAACCCCGCAGGGCGAGCAGCACCCTCAGGCCTGCGCCTGGCTCTGCAGGGGCGGGGCAAGGCACCCCGTCCCCTCGGGTCACACTCGCTCATCTGCACCCACCCACGCTGGCACAGACTCCATACTCTCCTCTTTCCTGGCTCTCAGCTTCCAGCTTCCCTATTTCTATGGCTTTGTTCCCCTTGCAGGAAGGACTCAGCTCAGAGCTATTTTGGGCGAGACATGAGATTGCTATTTTGGAACTCCCTTGGGGTGAGGAGGGGAGGGAGTTGAGCCAGGGCTCCAGCCCAGGGCCATGGCCAGGGCGTTACCTGGAGCTATGGCTTCACTGTCGCTTCTCTCAGTCCTGTCCCCTTGTCCCCCAGATCTGGCGCAGAGACCAGAAGAGCCTGAAGGAGCTGGGAGCTGCCAAGTGGAGATATAGGGATGTCTTTGTGTCCCCGTGTGCATGTCACCCAGCCCATCCCTCTGCCTACTGGCAAGCAACACACACACACACGCACACACACACACCACCTGGCTGCTAAGTCCCCTTTCCATCTCCAGCTAAGAGGCTGCTGGAACAAGACCCCAGTGGCACCATTTCTCCCCTCTCCCAGCCTTCCCCGGAGGAACAAGAGGTACCCACAATGGGAGGAGGCAGGGAGGTGCAGGGATGTGAGCTGTCACTCTCCAAAATCTAAACATGGGCATCTGTAGCCCCCTCCTTGTCCACCAAGAGCTGAGGACAAGGTCCTCCCAGCATGGGAGGGGCCCCTCCTAGGGGGATGCTCCTTCCTTCCCCTGCTTCCCTGCTGCTCACCTGGGCTAGACATAGGCTTCAGGGGCTCATGATGGTGGGGATTCTTTACAGCACTCCCCAAGTTTCCTCTGATTGCTGGTTTGTGCCACAATTAGAAATGCTTCCCTGCCTCTTTGCCCAGTCCCTGACCCTTCTCCACCACACGCACATGAGGGTCTAACCTGCATGGGATCTGGTGCTGAGAAGGGAGGGAGGGAAGAAGGAAGGGCAAGCAGAGCAAGGCACCGGGCAATGCCCTCCCTGGTTGTACTCAGTGCCCACTCCCGCCCCCAAGCACAGCTCAAGGAAGGAGAAGCAGGGCATCCTACCTGTAATGGCCAGCAGGACCAGTAGCCACAGAGGCTCCATGTCACCCCAGCCCTGGACAGCCTACAGGGCACCTGGCACAGATCTGATCTTTCCCTTGCACTGCAGGACAGAGAGGGTCAGGCAGGCAGGTCAGGCGGTGTCTGCAGGAACTGGGCAGCCGGGGGTTGAGCAATAGGACCAGGGTCTGGCTTTATGATTCAGAGAGGAGGGGAGAGGAGGAGCTGCTGCTGTAGCCCCAACAGAAGGATACCCAGGATTCCATGCCTGAGACACCAGTGCCCTGCTGCAGATGCCAGTCAGAGCGGCTGCCCCCACAGGGCTGGGGTGGATCAGGGGCCGAAGCTGCTTAGTTTCCTTGCAGAGCCTGGCCCAAGGGTTACGAACCTCAGAGCTGAGTCAAGACTACGTCAGCTGCAGCAGCTGCCTTCTAGCTCTGGTCTCATCCTGCCCTTTCTAGTCCCTCCTGAAGCCTGGCATCTCTGTGCTATGGTGGCCTGTCAAAAACTTGACCCTTGAGCCAAACTTCCTAGCCTCAAGTTCTTTTTTCCTTTGTTTTCCTTGTGTGTGACCTTCCCTGTGACTCAGTTACCACATCTGTAAAATGGGAATAATGATATTGCATAAGGTTACTAGCTAACAAGGATTCATGCAAGGAAATGCCTCAGAATGGGGCCTGATCCAATGAACACTCGGGCACTAGTGCTCTGGCTTTTATCTTTTTTTCTTTTAAGATTTATTTATTTATTTATTGCTATCACAAAGTCAGATACACAGAGAGGAGAGATAGAGAGGAAGATCCTCCGTCTGGTGATTCACTCCCCAAGTGAGCGCAATGGCCAGTGCTGTGCAGATCCGAAGCCAGGAGCCAGGAGCCTCCTCCAGGTCTCCCCCACGGGTGCAGGATCCCAAAGCATTGGGCTACCCATGACTGCTTTCCCAGGCCACAAGCAGGGAGCTGGATGGGAAGTGGAGCTGCCAGGACTAGAACCACTGCCCATATGGGATCCTGGCGCGTTCAAGGCTAGGACCCTAGCCGCTAGGCCACGCCGCCAGGCCCCCGGCTTTTATCTTAATGCTGTAGCTTGGGGATCAGATTGAGTGTCCCCCAAGTCCTCTGTGTTAAAACCTCAATTCCTGAGGTCTTATGTTAATGACTATAGGTTAATCCAACTATGGTGTCCAATTGGACTGGAGTAGGTGGTTGAGGTACAGTCCAGGACTGAATCTTGTTGGCCATAGACCACGCATGCCTATCTGCCTTCTGGTGCTCCATGCGAGCCTTACCTGACAGCCAATCCCAGGCCTACCTGTTTATGGACTGTGAATCCAATTGTACCTCCCTCCTTCACAAGCAGCAGTGAGCAGGGGCAGCAAGGGCGGCTGCCCTAGGAAAGGGAGGGTTTTCTGTCCCACCTGGAAGGTCCTACACAGGCTGAGCCTCTGGGATCTTGGCTGGCATTCAACCAGTGCACACACACATCTTGGACTCATGTGTGTGCCAAGGGGCACAACGAGCACGATGTTCCCTGGAGCTCTGAGGGTAGGCAGGCATCACTGCAGATATCCAAAACCCAGTGCTGTTTATTTAAATGACTACCTTTCCCTCAAATTAAATTTCCTTAGGTTCTTTGTGAAAAAATCAGTTGATATGTAGGTCAATTTCAAGCCTGTCTGCCCTTCTTTACCAGCCTATAATTCATTCTGGCTTCACTATTTTCTGAAATTTTTATAGTGAGACTTATAGCAAAATACTATTTCTACAAAACGGTTTTAACTATGCTTTGCTAAGTACAGTCTTTTTAAAAAGATTTATGTATTAATATTAGGCAGGCAGATTTATGTAAAGAAGGAAAGACAGAGAAAAAGATCTTCCATCCACTGGTTCACTCCCCAAGTGGCTGCAATGGCTAGAGCTGAGCTGAAGCCAGGAGCTTCTTCCTTGTCTCCCACGTGGATGTAGTGCCCCAAGGTTTTGGGCCATCCTTTCCTGCTTTCCAAGTCCATAAGCAGGAAGCTGGATGGGAATGGAGCAGCCAGGATGCGAACAAGCATCTATACTGAATCTCTGCACTTGTGAGGCGTGGATTTTGCCATTGAGCCATCATGCCATGTCCAGCTATGTAAAGTTTTAAATTTTATATTTATGGGCCCGGCGCGGTGGCGCAAGTGGTCAAGTCCTCGCCTTGCACGCCCGGGAGCCCATATGGGCGCCGGTTCTAATCCCGGCAGCCCCGCTTCCCTTCCAGCTCCCTGCCTGTGGCCTGGGAAAGCAGTCGAGGACGGCCCAAAGCTTTGGGACCCTGCACCCGTGAGGGATACCCGGGAGAGGCTCCTGGCTTCGGATCGGCATAGTATCGGCCATTGCGGCTCACTTGGGGAGTGAATCATCGGACGGAAGATCTTCCTCTCTGCCTCTCCTCTCTGTATATCCGCCTTTCCAATAAAAAAAATAATAAAAATAAATCTTTTTAAAAAAATAAAAATAAAAATAAATAAATTTTATGTTTATGTTTTATACATTTGAGTGACAGAAAGAAAGTATGAAAGACAGATCAGAGCTCTGCTATGTTGGTGCACTCTCCAAATACCCACAATGCCCGCTGCCTGGAGATAAGACCAAAGTCCAGAAATTGAATCCAGGTCCCCACATGGAAGCAGAGATCCAGCTACTTAAGCCATCACCTGCTGCTTCTCAGGGTGCCTTGGCAGAAAGCTGGAACCAGAAGCGGAGTTGGGTCTCTGACAAAGGATGTGGACCAAGAGACATCTTACCACTAGGTCAAATGTCAAGTTTTGTACTGTTTTTTAAAAATTGGAAGCCTATGCTGCCCAGCATGGTAGCCTAGTGGCCAAAGTCCTTTTGTTGCAAACATCGGGATCCCATATTGGAGACAGTTTGCATCCCAGCAGCCCCGCTTCCCATCCAGCTCCCTGCCTGTGGCCTGGGAAAGCAGTCAAGGATGGCCCAAATCCTTGGGACCCTGCACCCATGTGGGAGACCCGGAAGAAGCTCCTGGCTCTTGGCTTTGGAACAGTGCAGCTCTGGCTATTGTGGTCATTTGGGGAGTGAATCAACAGACAGAAGATCTTCCTCTCTGTCTCTCCTCTTCTCTGTATATCTGACTTCCCAATAAAAATAAATAAATCTTTTTTTTTTAATTGGAAGCCTACAGGCTTTGAACAGGGATCATATTAGCTATGGTTCGGTGTAAAGGAAAACAAACAACTTACCAAATCTTCCACATCCCCACTCATCGATATTTTCTAGTTTCCAGAGTATAGATCTTGCACATACTTTTAAAAAATTCTACCTACTCTGGGTGATACTGTTAGAAATGTCTCTAGCTCTCTGTCTCTTTGACTGAAGCACAGTTCATGAATTTCCTACATGTTCATCTTTAGGGCTTATTTGTGCTTCATTCTGCCTCCTTCTCTCCTCTCTTTACGACCCAAAGGTCTTTTTTATCCCTTTACATTCCATAGCAAAGGACAGACACTAAGAAATTTTTACAGCAAATTCATCTCACATGTTCTCTTCCCTTAGCCTGGGCTAATCCCCTGGTCCTCAGACAGGAGCACAGGAATGTTTCTTCCAAATGCAAGATCTTTCCTTTGCTAAGCAGAGTTCAATAGATTCCCTCCTCCATCACACACCGGAAGTTTATCATTGACTGACATCCATTCAAGCTCTGTGCACATGTCAGTCGCTGTGTTAGAGAACTCGGATCTCGGGGCAGCTTGTTGTTCCTGGGTATGGGTGTGACCATTGCCAGGGAAAGCCCCAAAATTGGAAGCATGGCTGGACACATTATGTATGTCTGCTGTTTGATTGGCTGAGACCTCACAGCTACTGCGGAGCAGTTTTCAGGACTCATAGAGGCTCCCCAGCAAACCTCATCTAGCAGCACTTCCAAGCCACCGCCCTCCACACACACACACACACACACACACACACACTCACACTTCTCTTCCCCTCTGCTGCCTCCTTAGAAATCAATCAAGACCTTCCAATGTGGGGATTCTCATTGTTTGACACATCAGATCCATCCTTAGCCTTCCATCCCCACACTAGCCAACCTGAGCAACCAGGTAGGCACCTGTCAGCACCTTGGCCAGCACCCTGACTACTCCTGCCACTTGCTTTCTCATCCTCACTCCCTGGGTCTTGGGCTCCCCCATTCCCCTCTCCCCTGCCTCCAGGCCCTACACCTTCCCCTCCATCTTCACAAGGGTAGAGTACTGTCTCACTCCTGGAAAATACCATGCATGCCTCAGCTTCCCCTTCTGATCCAGTCCTTTCATGTCCTGCCCACTAATCTCGGAAGCCACCATTTTCACCTGTATTATTTCACCCATACCTATTTCTAATAAGACAAATCTTTTTACTAAACTAAAATCTAAAGAGTTTTGACTATTTCAATAATGTTATTTGTTTTATAGATTTTTTTTAAGATTTATTTATTTTTATTGGAAAGGCAGATTTACAGAGAGGAGGAGAGATCAGAAGAGATCGGGCGCGTTCAGGGTGGTATGGCCGTAGGCAGAAACAACAATCTAACGCCATGTCCACACCAGGAGGTCTCTGTGAAAACTCAAGAGGACAGAGTGCTTCCTGAACACGCACAGGTGCCTGGAGGGAGGCGGTGCAAGGAAGGGCATGGAAACTCCTGGCTCCTTCCCACATGCCTGGCCCTGAGCCCTCTTCTAACCAGCTGTCCATCGATATTCTTCCCTCGAAAGCAAATGCCTAAGACTTGGTGTTTCCCCGAGTTCTATGAGAGCCACACCAGTAAATTAACCAGACTGTCAAAAAATGTCTAACAAGAGCATCATGGGAACCTTTCCAGTCGATCTGAACTCAAGGTCACAACCCAAGGCCCGCAGCTGGTACCTATAGGATCGGGTGCTGTCCCCAAAGAGAATGTCAGGGTTGAACTGTGAGACACTCAGCCTCGTGTGGCAAAAAAATTGGTGTGTGCATGGGATACACGCACACACTCACACACACACATACATTCAAGGAAAGCAACCAGAAGTGAGTGTAGGGTAGAAAACAAGTTGGCTTCCTCTCAGCTTTTTACCCAGGCTTTTTGGTCTGTTCCCTAAAAAGTCCCACACGGCCTCCTCTGTCAGCCACTGGGCACTCCTGCTGCCGTGAGAATCTTGACCATCATGTTGCATCTTCTCTAGGTCAGTCCTCACCCCCTGACTTATACCCTGTCCTCTCCTGGGAGACTGAGCCCCACTGTCCCTGGCCCTACTTTCCAAATCCCCAGCCCTCTGCTTTCTGCTGGGCCTAGTCTAAGGGAGACATTCGTAAGAGTCAGGCAGATGAGGGGAGAAATGCACATTTCTTTTCTCCTCCCTCTTCTATGCTTTCGTGTGGCTGGGACAATGGTTGTTCTCCTTCTGTGGATACGTGGCCAAGCCAGCTCACTGCAAGGACGCCTCTGGACTTAGGGTCCTAGTGGGAGTTGAGAAGTCAAGATGCCTGTTGTCTGGGGGGAAGTGGGGATCCAGGCTTTGAGAGACCTGCGAGCTGAAGACTGGTGCTCCCACGAAACAAGCATGTAGTGTCAAAAAAAAGAAACAGGATTATCGGAAAGTTGCTCCCCCGTGGAGGTGCAGTTTCTCAACGCTAGCATCACCACCGACCGTACAGGTGGTGGCGCTGCTCCCTCCATGTTGAAGCCAGTCCAGCCGACCACAGCCCTCCCCTTTACACCCGCAACAGGCTGAGGCTGCGTACCAAACAAGGAACTGAATCCTGAGACCAGCGTCAAATAGGAACCCTTTAAAAAGCTACTCTAAATTTAGGGAATGCCAACAAGAATTCTGGAGTCTGAACCTGAGTTAGTCTAGAAAGCAAAAATAATCCTTAAAGAAAATTGGTGGATGCAAAATTTAATCGATTTTCCAAGACTTTTTAAGCAACACATTAAAAATTTTGTTTTAGTAGCATTAACTCCAGGCAGACATTGTGGTGTCGTGAGTTAAAAGCCAACATCTGCAACATCAGCATCTCATACAGACACAGGTTCCATTCCTAGCTCCTCTACTTCCAATCTAGTTCCTGCTAATGGCCTAGGAAAGCAGTGGAAGGTGGCCCAAGTCCTTGGGTCCCTACATGCATGTGGGGTACCCAGATGGAGTTGCAAACTCCTGGCTTCAGCCTGGCCCTGCCTGGGTCAGTGGGAGTTTTCTCTCCCTGTTACTCTCTGCCTTTCAAATAAATAAAAATAAGGCTTCAAAATATACATCCACTCATCTAAAAAGGACTATGCATTGAATTACGATTCAATATGTAATGATGCTTATTAAGTAAATGACATCCAACAGTGACATCAATCATTACTCATTATATAAATCTCGAGCTGCAAGCCACAGGCAGTTTCTCCCAGTCCATCCACCTGCCCCAGAGGGGCACAGCTGCCGGGGGGAGATTTCCAATACTTTAGGAAATATGTCAAGCTTGTGTATTTTATTTCAGTTCCCTGGGGCGGCTTTCCATACCGACGGCTGTAATCTGACTTCAGTTTGGTTGGTGTCAGCCTGGTTTTTCTACAACGCTACCCTGTAAGAGACAGGACCCCACCAAAGTCCTGATTGTGCGTGGGTTATACGTCGGATCATTGCAGCAAGTGGACAAGGAAGAGGAAATCAGCCAGACGAAGACAATGGAGCAGCTAGGAAAACTTCCCCAGGGAAGTGGCCAGCTTACCTTTGGGTGTCCTCCTGAATTTAGGAGTCTCTAACCCACCCTGTTTCCTCCTCTATTGGGGTCTTACTGCCACCTGCTGGTCTGGCCCAGAACAACTGCCTGTGCCATCTCCGGACGCTTTTGCTGCCCAAGTAGGGGAGCCACAAAATCTCTAACGCTCTGCGGGAAAACAGAGCTCGCTACCTACAAGGAATGAGTCCTGGGATCCGTGCATGCTTTCTTGGCTAACTGTATAGTACGGGACTGGAAGGGAGAAAGAAGCTTTCTTAGGGGTTTCCTCGCGGCACCTGGCTTACCCTAGCATGTGCACTGTGGGATGCAGGCTTTCCCCTACCAGGATCCCTTAGGATCCTATCTTCTTCCTTAAATCCTCTTCTGCTCAGCATCTAAAGGATTTATATGCTCAGCGTCAGAGTCCTTCCCTCCTCCTCTGGGTCCTAGTCGCTCATCTGGCTCTGAACTCCCCAGCTTAGCTTGTCCTGCAGGTTCACAGGAAGTGATTACTTCAGTCTAAACTCTCCATCTTCCTCCCAGATGGGTTTTCTCTTCTACCTTCTCTTCCACCATCACTCTCTGGCCATCTGCCTTGCCTTGCTCACACAGGCTGGACAGTTCTACAACTCACCATCTCCCTGCCTCTCACCTTCTCTCTCCCACACCTACCTCCATGTCTCTGCCATCCTCCTGGCTCTCATCTCTTCTCCAGCTTGGTGGTGGCAGCCCCATGCTATCTCCTCAGTGTCACTCCCAGGTCTTCAAGTTACAGGTCCATGAGCTATGTTCACATCAGTTCCTGTTTAGACTTTTTAAAAGATTTGTTTATTTTTATTGAAAAGGCCGATTTACAGAGAGAGGGAGAGATAGAGAGAAGGATCTTCCATCCACTGATTCATTCTTGAAATGATCACAGTGGCTGAAGCTGAGCAGAAGCCAGGAGCTTCCGGGTCTCCCATGCAGGTGCAGGGTCCCAAGGTTTTGGGCCGTCCTTCATTGCTTTCCCAGGCCACAAGCAAGGAGCTGGATGGGAAGTGGAGCAGCTAGAACATGAACCCATATTGGATTCCAGGATTTGCAAGAGGAAGATTAGCCAATTGAGCCATTACGCCAGGCCCCCAAGTTTCTCCTTTTAATGGAGTTGAACAGGTTACATGTTTTACTCTTTATGGCATGTGCTTTCGAGGTCTTACTTAATCATCTTTCTACACCCTGATGTCCTAAAAACTCCTACTTCGCTCTAAACACTTTTTTGTTTGACTGTTCATATTGAGGTTGACCACCCTCCTGGAGTTTATTCCTTTGTAAGATATGAGGCAGGAAACTAATGTAACGAACCAGCAGACAGAAGATCTTTCTGTCTATCTGCCTTTCCAGGAGACGCAGAAGGAGCAGGAATGGGCAGCATATCTCAGCCTAGTTTGGACGTCTCACAAGGACGGCTAGGGTTGGGGCTTCTCAAAGAGAGGCTGTGATAGAGGAACTTGCACAATCCCTCAGGATTTCACAGCCTTGGGTCAGGAAGGAAGTGACAGTCTCAGTGCTGGGTTACTCAGAAGCACTGGGTCCCAGACCCCGCCATCCGGTTGGATTCAGTTCCAGTAGCACTCCCTTCTTCTTGGCCCTGGAAGGAAGGGGACGGAGCAGGTGTCCAGAAAATCACAACCCCCCACCCCACCACTGCAAAGTCTGCCCATCACAGCCGTGGCCCCAGGCTCCAGTCCTTGCCTAGTTAGGACTCTGCTTGGCTTTGCTGCTCAGCCCTCTGCTCCCTCATCATTTGTAGCAGTCTTTGCCACTAGAAGGCACTCCAAGGCTGGCAAATGAGCTTAGCACCTCCTGAGCAGGTGGCAGGCATTCAGTCACTGGTCAGGAAATTCTGCCTGTGATTCCCAGGCACTTGGTCTCAGGCAGCGGGTCTGGGGACCTGGAGATTTGCTCCTCTTCACACTGGTGTATTCCACAGACAGGATGAGGTCTCGGGCGGGCTTCATGGTGCAGTAGATGTTGGCATAGAGGGGATCCTCAGGGCTTAAGTGAGTGAGTGAGGCGTAGTGGATGGCTTCTGTGAGCTCCTCCTCATAGGTCGGCTGCTGATCAGCACCCTAGAAATCAAGAAAGGCAGACACAAGCTGTGTGCTCACCTTCTAGGTGTCTATAGCTGGTAGAGGATGGGGTGAGAGATGCAATGTGGGACAAGGTGTCGAGTCTGCAAAGACTGTGGAAAGAGGTGATTCCCAAGGCAATAACATCACCATCACAGGCATGTCTAACAATGACCTGGGGTGTCTGGCACATCAGTGAAGACGCAGCCTGGGAATGCCCACAGTTCCTATGAATGCACCTGAGTTTGAGTCCCAGCTCCACTTCCAGTTCCAGACATCCTTTAACGCAGCAGAGAATGGCTCAAGTACTTGGTCCCTGTCACCTATATGGGAAACCCAGCTTGAGTTTTTTTGCTCCTGGCTTCCGTCGGGGCCCCATTCCTGGCTATTACACTTGGGGGAGTGAACCAGCAGATATAAGATCTATACTTGTCTCTGTCTCTTTCTTATTCTCCCTTTCAAGTAAAATGAATAAATGCATTTTAACATTAAAAATGAAAATATAATATACTAGGACTAAAAGCTTTGATACTCCTGGAAACTTGTTTGAAACATAGAATCGGGTTCCACCCCAGATCTAGTAAAGCAATCTGGGGGGAGGGCAGCAAACTGTTTTCTTATTTTTAAAATAGATTTATTTATTTACTTTGAAAGGCAGAGTTACAGAGAGAGAGAGAGACCTTCCATGTTCTAGTTTACTCCCTAGATGACCTCAATGGCCAACACTCAGCCAGGTCAAAGTCAAGAATCAGGAGTTACATCCAGGTTTCCCATGTGGGTGCAGGCGCCCAAGAATTTGGGCCATTTCTACTCCTTTCCACAGGCCGTTAGAAGGGCGTTGCATCAAAAGTGGAGCAGCCCAGAAACAAACTGGCACCCAGATGGGATGCTAGCTTGGCAGGCAGCAGCTTGACCTGCTAAAGCACAAGGCCAGCCCTAGCCACCTGTCTGAATCAGCACTCTACACACTCTCAGGTGTGGGTTGCACTAAGTAAGGACATTTGATGGGCTCTGCATGGTAGCCTAGTGGCTAAAGTCCTCGCCTTGCACTTGCCAGGATCCCATATAGGTGCTGGTTCATATCCCAGCTCCACTTCCCATCCAACTCCCTGCTTGTGGCCTGGGAAAGCAGTCAAGGACAGCCCAAAGCCTTGGAACCCTGCACCTATATGGGAGACTCAGAAGAATCTCCTGGCTCCTGGCTTTGGATCAGCTCAACCCTGGTCATTGGCAACCATACAGCCCCAGGACTCACTGAGCACGTCACTTGCCGTGTGATGTCTGTTCCCACCAGTGGACAAGACCCTCTGACTGGCCCATGACCTGTGAGATATGAAGCGCTGCCTGCTGTGGAAGTGCTGGTCTGGGGTTTGACCCACTAACTAACTCTCTCTCCCTCTCAGAACTGAACTGAGAAATGGGGAAAAGGAAGCACTCAGGCCACGAGGCAGCAGGGGCATGCTCAGTCAGCACTGTGTACCAAGGTCTAGAGCAGCTAGAGACAGTACGCAGAGGCTGGGAAGTCAGCAGAAAGCAGCAAGAGCGCATGCTCACAGCCAAGCTGTGATTCTCTGGGTCCCAGGGATGAGCCAGGCCTACTCACGGTGGGCTCCTTCAGCACTGAAAGGCTGCAGACATCCAGGGCTCCATCTTTACCTGCCAAGAACACAGAGTCAGCTTAGGGTGGAGGTCTCTGCCTCCAATGGAGATAAGGCAGACAAGTTAAGGTCCTGGCTGGGCAGAAGGTCCTGCTCCTGCTTGGGGACAGACCCAAGTGCCCCACATAGTGTCCTGGGAAGCTAGAGGTAAAGTAACAAACTGCCAAGGTTGGTTTGCATAAAATAAGAGAGCTTCATTCAAGGTGCCTGAAGGTCCCAAACTTAGACCTCCGATTCAAAGATCAACCTCCTTAGCCATACAGGAGTTATGCGTTTCAGTTTTGAAGCAGGACTCTTAAGGCAAAAAAACACAGCCGATGTTACAATTACGAGTATTCTCACACCCGTGCATTCGCATGTATGCTCTAGAAATCGAACCTCAATAAAGAACGCACAAAGCATTTGTCTCTTCTACTTGGTTGCTCTACTAAAAGGTTATTGGGATCTACTAAATCTATTGGATGTCATTTGAAAAAAAAATAGGTACACAAACTGTACAATCCCCTCCTCCTGGGGGTTTTGATTGCTTGAAAATTAAAGCCTATGAGGTCCAGCATAATTATTTTTCATTCAACACATTTCAATCACGTTGTTGATTGAAACACCCTTAAGGCATATGGTTAACACACACACATAGGACACAGACACCAAGCCAAGGTCAGTAAGAATAAAAGTGAGAAAATATGTAGGATTCATCCACAGGGACTAACTGGGGCAGGCGCTTGGCACAGTGCTTAAGACACTGACTGGGACACCAGCGCCCCATAGGAAAGCGCCTGGTTCCAGTCCCAGCGCCTCTGCTTCTTCTCCAGCCTCCTGCTAATGTGCCCCTGGAAGCAGCAGGGGATGGCTCAAGGGCTTGGACTGCTGCCACAAAGGAGAGATGCAAACTGGGATCCAGGGCTTGTCAGCCTGGCTGCAAGAACCAACAAACAAGAATGCTCTGCCCGTCTCTCTCTTCTTGTCTCTTCCATTTGAATCAATTAGTAATTGTTGGAGAGACTGATCTGAAAAACCTTGTACAAAGTGCTATAGACTTCACACACGATTAATGCCAAAACTTAAAAAAAAAAAAACACCTTGAGAAAGTCCTTGAAGTGCTTTTAGGAGGACATTCTTTTGTTTTTTCTTGCTTAATTTTTAAATTGCACTGTGTATATTGAATGTGTATAACGTGATTTTGTAGGATTATGCAACCCTTTGGAGTAAGTGAACATAGTCCTCATCTCATCTGGTTCTCATTTCTCCTCTTGTGACAAAAGCAATTCTAACCTATTCGTTTAGCAAAGACCCTGAACACAGAACACTATCATCCACCTCATGTTGCAAGTTAGGCCCTTCTGCTTGTTCATCCTGCACATTTCCTGTTTTCTACTCTTTGACCTACAGCTCCCCGTGTTACCCCTGATACTTCAAGGCCTTCACATTTTTCTATGGCAGCAATGAGTAAAACAATACTGCTAGGGCTGGAATTGCAGTATAGTGAATTAAGCTGTTGGTTGCAGTGCCAGCATCCTGCAAGGGCACCAATCCAACTCCTGGTTGCTTTGTTTCCCATCCAGCTCCCTGCTTGTGGCCTGGAAAAGCAGTTGAGGACGGCCCAAAGCCTTGGAACCTTGCACCCGTGTGGGAGACCTGGAAGGGCTCCTGGCTCCTGGCTTCAGATGGGCTCAGATTTGTCTGTTGCGGTTATTTGGGGAGTGAATCATCAGACAGATGATCTTCCTTTCTGTTTCTTTCCTCCTCTCTGTACATCTGACTTTCCAATTTAAAAAAAAAATGAATAATGTTATAAAGAAAAGAAAGAAAGGCCTGAATTGAGCTCCAGGCTCCTGGCTCCACCTGGTCCAGTCCCAGCTGTTGTAGGCATGTGGGGAGCAAACCAGCAGATGGAATTTTGCTCTCCCCCTCCAAATAAACTATCCAAATGCAGAAATGAAAATACCATGAATTATACAAAGATATTGACAATAACAATATTATGTTTATCCTTTATGAATTTTAAAGTTTTAATTATGCTTTGAGAAGCAGAAAAGAAACACAAAGCAAGCAACATCTTCCATCAGCCAGTCCACTCCTCAAGTTCCCATAGAAGCCAGGGCAGGATCAAGCCCAAGCCGGGGTCCTGGAACTCAACCCACGTCTCCCACACGGGTGGCAGGAACCGAAGCCCTTGCGCCATCACCTGCCTCCTCCCAGGATGTGTGTTAGCAGAAAGCTGGAGCTGGGAGTGCAGCAGGGCTCAGCCCTAGGCACTGCAGTATGGCACACACACATTTTTATTGGTGTTTAAACTGCTAGACCAAACAGCCCTCTTTACATAATTTTTTCTTTAAATCCTCATTCAAAAATCAAAAATTATGGCAAAAATCCATAAGACTGTAAGTGGACAGCAGTGTACCTAGGTTTAGGCCCATTTAACATTGAACTGAACTGACTTTGGGTGTGCTAAGCGCCAGCATCACAAGACAACTGGTCTACCTGTGGGAGCCAACCACACACACACACACACACACACACACACACACACACACACACACATACACACACACACACACACCCCATCTGCTGGGTAGAGGGGAAGAGAGCTCCCAGAACCCCAGAGCCTGGGTTTCCCACCCCCCAACTCCCGACTGAGTACCAAGTGGTCTGCTCAGAGCAAGGCAGGGGCTCACCTTTCCTGGTTCTTTTCTGCTTTTTTCTGAGACCCAGGACCACAAGGAGAGCCAGCAGCAGCAGCAGGACGGTCACCACCACACCCGACAGCACAGACTTCCCACTGTCAGGGGGCCTTGGGAAGAAGGGTCGGGCTGGTGGTGAGGACGGGTGGAGCCAGCCAGCATCACCTCCTGCCTGGAGAACCTTCCCTGCTGTGGTTGTCACTCTCACAGCCACAGACACCCACCCACAGACACCCCACCACAGCTTCCAGCCTCTCCCCAGAGCCTTGCCCCTCTCCCCGCCTGATCACCACGTGGCCACAGCGGCCGGTGCTGCCTTGGGCTAGTTTCCATTCTCTGGAAGATGACTATGCTGTGATATCACAAGTCTTCATGCCTTCCCTTTTCTGACTTCTGTCCCTTAACATCCATCCCTCCTGGGACTCCGTGACAGGGCTTGCAGTTACTCCTCGCCAGCACCCTTGTCCCAGCTCCTTCGTGCATCCCTGCTGTGGGCTGCAGGTGGTTCTCAGAGGAGTCACCATACTTCACTGCAGGTAAGAGGCACATTTCTGGCATTCTGTGTTAGGCAAAGGAAAAACACCCAGGGCGACATCCTGCCACCCTGTCACAAGCTCCTAGGGGACGTTTCTGGGGCATTTCAGTTGGGGGATCAGTTCTAGAGACACCTCTCAGCTCAGGCTACTGGCACCACTTAGCATCTGCTTAAAGGAACAATGGCATGCCAGAGGCGGAGTTTGTGATCTGAGATGAAGGTGAATGAAGAGGGGGAGGGCAAGAAAGAGATTGCCCTGCCCAGAGTCTGGGGCCTGGAAATGATTGGGCAGGTATGAAGAAGAAAGCTGGGCACACAGGAGGCAGGACCTACCAAGGGTGCCTACCAAGCTCTGCTGCTCTCACTGAGATGTAGCAGCCGGATGCTATGGCTCTAGGCTCTCTGAGCCCTCACAAACACCTTCCAAGCCTGAACGTCCACACGAGAGCGGCCTCATCCCAACGGTACCGGGAGACCCTTTGGGTCACCACACCCAGGTGTCAGCAGGAGGTTTATACACCTGACAAAGGCCAGGGATGCTGCCAAACATCCCAAAAAGCACGGACACTGTCCTTCAGCCAAGAACAATCTGAACAATCCAGATGATAACAGGCCAGAACAAACAGCCCCCTGTAAGGTGGGAACATCACTGCAGGTGCCAAAGCTAAGGTTCGTTCAGGCAAAGTGGCCAGTATGACCCTGTTTCATCCTGCACGAGCCAGGTACAGCAGTAGTGGGCGGTATCTGATCTTGATTGGCAGAGGGTACAATAAAAGAAAGGCTCGGGAACTGGAGGGTGTGCAACAGTACCTGGCATTGACAGGGCTGCTGGTAGAAGCCAGGGCTATGGTCTTCCAGGCATTCCTGGTGGAGGATGGGACGGGAGCTGGAAGAGACAAAAGTGAATGGAGCAGCCCTCTGCTCACCCACACCCCAGGGCTTCCCACTTCCAGTCCCCAACCCCGGGAGCAGGCGGCCACCTGGGGCCCTAGACCAGGGGTGAGCTCTGGGCAGGGTCGCAGCACCTGCAGGAGGCACAGCAACCATACTGAGGGCAGGAAGGGCCACCGTGCCGGGAGCTCTGTATGGCAAACCACATTGTCACCTGCATGTTAGGTCAGCTGTGCCATCCCTTTTGCTGCTGCTGTTTCTGAACATGTCACATTTTTAATCTCTGATGCTTCCCTCCACCGTAACCGCATGCCTTTCATGTCTTCCCTGGATAAACTCCCGCTCAGCCACAAAGTCAGGTGGTGACACCTCCTCCAAGGAGTCCTCCCTTGATGCAGGAGCGTTCCCTTGACCTTCTTGGTGCCAGGAGAGTTCCCTCACCAAGACTCTGTCCATTTGCTTCTGTGATATCCCTGCCTCCTGCAGTGTCACTCTTGACTCACAGTCTGCCTTACTGGCTCCTCCAGCACGGAATGGGATTTCAAAGGTTTAAGGCCCCGTTCCAGACCCTAGACTAGCCCTGGGCCCTCCAAGGAATGGGCATGGAGCCAACGCTTGGGCAGTGAAGCACTGACCTGTTAATCCCTCGAGTGCCCATTTGACCAACAGGCTGGGCAGGTTGAGCCTGAGGGAGGGATCCAGGGGTTGCAGCCTGGACCACACGTAAATGCAGGACCAACTCTGCAACTCCATGGGGATTCAGGAGGACCACACGGAACCTCAGATGTGTGGTAGCTGTAAGCATCCACTTAGGCTCCATAACCAAGACGTCCATGGTCAAGACAAGAACCCAGGCCCCCCGTGGAGCTCTAGGCCACCACACATCTTGCATTGCCTCTCAGCATCCCATCTCCCTCCCTCTCCACCTGTCTCCTATCAGTCCGTGGTTTTCAGCTTCACACCCAGTTAGTTCCCTTGTGTGAGAGGCAAAGGGTCAAGGTCAGGGACAGGGATGTCCAAGACTGGACGATGAGCCAGCTATGCTGACGCATGGGGGAGATTTCAGATCACTCTCTAGGTGACCCTGGGCCACATGCCTCCTTCTCTGCTCCCCTCCACATACCTTATTTCCAGAATCCTCTCCAGCTCTCTCACCCAGGGGCTTCAGCAAGCCAGAGACAACCCGCCCTCCCCAATCCAAGGGGAACCAAGAAGGGAAAGCACGCACACCTTGAGACACCATGAGCTGGATGGTTCTGAGAGGGAATACTCCAGAAGACTCATAGACACCACACCAGTAGAGACCAGAGTCCATCACTGTGAGCCTCTTCATGGTGACGATGAAGTGGGCAGAGTGGTGGTCATCCTGTAGGGAGCACCGGGGGTCTTGTGCCCAGCTCTGGGAACTGTCCACCAGCAAGGTGCAGAGGTTGGTCCCTGTTTGCCTACACCAGGTTTTCAGCTTCGTGTGCTGCTCAGCCGAGTAGTAGCATGTCACAGAGATGGCCTCGCCCTCCAGTTTCTGCAGGATCTCTGGGATCTGTCCCCAGGAACCTAGGGGTGAACCCTCAGTGAAGAGAGCCCCTCTCCTCAGGCCCCCGTCCCCTCAGGGCATCTTCCATAGCGCCTACCCAGCCCTCCTCACCTGAGGCCTGGAGCATCAGCAGGCCAGGTAGCAGCAGGTGTATAGCCTCCCAAGCCATGGAGCCTTTTCCTGAGCTCGGGGATAAAGAGGAAAGCAAAGCAGCCGACAGGCCCTGGGGAGAGAGTGGGGGTGAACTGCTGAGCTAGGCAAAGGTTTCTTTGGGGGAGAAGCAGGCAGCCAGCGGCAGGAGGGCTGGCATCCAGCTGGGCTAACTGGGGCTCTGGGGACTCTAGAACCACTCCTGGGCTCCTCTGGACCAGCCCCTGCTGTCTCCAGCAAGCCACTTCCCTCCCACTGAGGTCGGGATGGGGAAAGCTGAGAAGTTCCAAGAAAGAACTAGGGTGAAACATTTCTACTCTCTCTCCCAGCTGCTCTACCACTTCCTTCACAGTCCGTGCTGTGCCCCAGAAAGTGAAGGCTGAAAGAAAAGCCAGTCTGACCAGAACCCCGAGTGCCACTGGTCACCAGCCACCAGAACTCAGAAGTTTGCAGGGGACTGAAGGGGAACAGGAGGAAGGAACTGGAGATGTCCTTCCAGGGGCAAGAGCGCAGTGAGGGTTCCCAGCAAGGCTAGGGGAATGCCAGGACGGGTTGGGGGTTTTCAAAAAACACCCCGGAAGGGGTGGGGCTCCGCAGCCACCTTTAGCTCTCTGCTAATGCCCCAGGGGCAGCAATGACAGAACTCAAGTACTTGGGCTCCTAAAACTGACCTAGCAGGCCTGGATGGAGTTTCTGGCTCCTAGCTTCCACTCCGCCCTTGGCCTGGTCCCCAGGATCCTTGGTGGCCTTTGGGGATATGAATGGATATCTCTCTAATAAGTAAGTATATTTTTAAAGGCATATTTATTTTTATTGGAAAGGCATTTACAGAGAGAAGGAGAGACAGAGAGAAAGAAAGATCTTTCATCCCCAAGTGGCCACAACACCCAGAACTGGGCTAATCCAAAGCCCCCAGCCTCTACCGGGTTTCCCACGCGGTTGCTTTCCCAAGCCACAACCAAAGAGCTGAATGGAAAATGGAGCAGCTGGGACATGAACCAGCAGCACCCATATGGGATCCTGGGCATGCAAGGCGAGGACTATAGCCACCAGGCTACCACACTGGGCCCATAAAGGTGTTCTTAAATCTCATGGAAAAGGAAACAAAAAGTTTATTTTGCTGCAAAAGCTTGAAAACCCACACACAGAGTTTGCATAACATGCCTGCTCCATGAATTTCCTGAAGACCCTACAACGGGGGGTGGGGGGGCTATTCCTGGCCTCAGAGCACCCCCAGCTCCCAACCACAATCCCACCAATCAAACACATCTGAAATAATCATCTTGGGTGAGCTCCAGATACTCACGGTTGGCACACAACAAAGAAGATCCCATGAGAAGTATGCCAGGGTAGATTCCCGGGACAGACTCTCAGATGGGTACAGGGGTTTCAAGTGCTCTGGAACCACCCCCTAGGGGAGGGGAAGAGCAGGAAGCAGGAGTGGACCGGAGAAGCCGGACTGCCTGGAGAGGACTCCAGCCTCTTGTGACAAGGTCTGAGGACAGGCCGAAGGAGCCTGCCTGCCTGGCTGGCCCCAGGGCTCCCATCCCTGAAGCCCTTGAGCACCTGTGGCTTCTGACCCTGGGCTGGATCCGAGGTGTAGGCAGCCCTGCTGTGTCTTTCCCCTCCTCCCCCGCCACTTGGAGCTGGGAGCAGGTGGAGGGAGGGGGTGGCTCCTTGGCACTCCCTTAGTGCTGAGCTCTGTGCAGGCAACTGTGGCACCTCCTCTTGTCCTTCCATGGATGTGAGAAAGCAAGAACAAGAGCCAGATTGGGACAATAGCTTGCCAAGGGTGCACCAAGATGAGCCTACCCTGGCGAGAAGGCCTCATCAAAGAGGCTGCTCCAAAACAGTTGAGAATGAAAGACACAGAGAAGAGATGGAAGACCCCCTCCCCAACCCCTGAAGCTCTCAAGCACAGAACGCAGAAAACAGCGGAACCAGAAAATCACCACGAAGCGATAATAATCAGGCATTAGCCGAGTAGCACGGGTCATTGTATTTTATCCTGAGAACAATCTCGAGAGGTAGGAATTATTATCACCCCCTTTCACAAGGGAGGAACAACAAGGCCCAGAAAGGGTTAGTGACTTGCTCAGGGTCACACAGTGACAGGGTGGCATCCCCGATCCCACCCCGGTTCCTTCCCCACCGGATATCTTGTCACTGAGCTCTCATGGAGGTTTTCTCCTCAGGAGAGTTAAGGTGGTGAAAAGAGCTCCTGGGGCTAGTTGTTGGCCATCCAGGGACAAATGTCACTGTGTGTGTGTGTGTGTGTGTGTGTGTGTGTGTGTGTGTGTGTGTGTGTGTGTGTGTGTGTGTCCTGTATGGAACTGTCAGTTCCTAGTTCGAGTCTTGCCTCCACTGCCCCCTCGTGGACACAGGGAAGCAGTACCTCTTCCAGGCTGTCCCCATGCACGACCCCAGCCCCTATTCCTCTCCCCGTATTCATCCTGGATTGACCACACCAGCCGTCCACTGAGACCCTAGTTGAGTCTCTCTGCTGAATATGACCCTTGCCAACCCACAACCAAAGTGCACATGTCATCTTTGTCCCCAACCATGACTCCAGCAGGCTGAAGGACACCCTTGCCTGGGGGCCGGAATCCAGTTGGTGGTTTCGTCTTCACTGCTGACAGCTGGGCCAGTGGTCAGAGCAGCAGAGGTTAGGTCTGAGCTCACACTTGGGCCATGGAGCCCCAGCCAGGAGCTCCTTAAACACCTCCCCTCCCAGCTCTCACCTAGGCCAGTCTTCTAGGCGGCAGGCAGTTCCAGTTGCCTTCATTGTGTCACAAGTGGGGTCCTCTCTCTTTCCAGGGGTCAATGAGCCCCTTGGGGAGTGGGACAGTGATCCAACTCTTTTTCTCTGCACCATGGCCTCCCCACCAGCATCTGTGGGGTGATCCCCCTCATTCCAGGGCCAGGGTCTCAGAAAGCCTGGAGCGTGGACTCAGCTAGAGTTCCCTCCAGGAACTCGGACGTGTGACCTCAGGTGCGTGGCCTGGGAGAGAGATCCCCCAATCTGAGGAGGGGCACACCACAGGGGAGGGACACACATAGCAGGAGGCAGCTGTGGAAAGGTGTGCCCTGAAGGCTCCCTGGGCATGGGGGATCAGCAGCCTTAGTCAGGGCAGAAGACATCAGGACACCCAGACTGACAGGTGCCTACCTGCTATGAACCCAGCTCCGAGTCACTGTCCCTCTCCTCTTCCACAACAGGGTCTGGGGACACTCCTGCCTCTGGGGCTCCTGAGTCCCTCTTTCTTCCTCTGCAGGCATGCCATGTGGGGAAGCTGAGGGCTCCACGGTTCCAGGTGGGCAGAGGGCGGCTCCGGCTGTGCCCCACTCTCACCTTGGATGGAGCATCAGGAGAGCCATTCTCCATCAGTCAGCAGCATCTTGGGGGCTCCACTGCCCTCAGCCCAGGGCACGGCAGCTAGAGCAGCACACGGCACCCCTGGGATACGTCCTGCAGGACCCCCTGAAGGTTGCCTGTTGCTGAGCCCTCCTGGCAACCCTGGAGAAGGCTTGGCGGGGCCAGGGATGGGGACCGGACAAGGTGTCCAAGAGCACCTGCAGAGTTCTTCCAACCTCAGCCATTGTGCACATTTCCCCTCATCCCCAGCCTCCTGGGACCCCTCCAGGAGGAGCTCCCACTGCAGTTATGTATTCTCAAGCCAAGCTAGCTTCTGCAGGAGTTCTGGTCTTCTGGACGGGGCCCTCCAGGGCCTGGCAGGGTTGCGACAAATGCTATAGCCTGCAGAGAAAAATGGGAACTGAGGACGGGTACCCTGCCCCACTCTAAGCACCGCAAAGTCCCTCTCCTGGCTCCACCTCTGGTCCCTCCAGCTCCTCCCTTTCCTGGCCTCTCCCTCTCACTCCCTTGACCAGCTGGGACCGCTGCCCTGAAATGCTGAGGGGTGGGTTCTACTCACTTCCCATGTGTCTCTTCTTCCAAAACCCGTAGACCACAATCAACATCATGGGCGCTGGGAGGAAGGTCAGGGCTACCACGAGCACTGTGACATGAAGATCCTGTTGCCTGAGGAAGTGGGGCAGAGGGAAGGAGATGAGAACCAACCCATGACCACAGCCGCGGTGTGCCCCACACGAGGGGTCAGTCCTGGGAGCGTGGCCTCCTTCCTTGGGGACATGATTGTGGTAGAGACAATCACTAACTCAGAGCTGAAGGTAAGATGCCCCAGGCAGAGGAAAGTCACTTCTGCCATGAATGCCCAAAACGTGTCCACAGCGAGGGCGGGGCCTCTGGGTGACCCTCGCTCTGCCCATGGCTGAGGAAGCCCCTCCCAGCGTGCCTGTGCAGCTCCAGGCCCCCACTACTCAGGTGCCCCTGTTGGCTTGATGCTTTCCTCTCATCCCGCAGCCCTCTGGGCCACACACACACACACACACACACACACACACACACGGCGGGCTCCTTCCACAGAAGACAAACACGAGGTGGCATCTAACTACCTCCCCTGCGGGGGAGCGTCTGACACTAGACAAGGCCCCGCCCATGCGCAGTGTCCGTGGGCGTGACCAAGTGCTTCTGGGAACCTTCCTTTCTTTCCCCTCATCTCTCCTCCCTCCCTATCACCATATCTCAGGGCCTGCCACCCCCGAGCTCCTATTCTCCAAGCCGCATCCTTGGCTGGCCCTATCCTCTCATTGCCCACCCCTGACCCTCTTCCCCAGGACCATCCTTACATCACTTCCTCTCTCATCCTTTACATCTCTCTCATCCTTCACGTCACTTCCGGTCTCCTTCTGCTGCCTGGGCAACAAATCACGCCAAGCTCCTGATTCCTAACCCCTCCAGGTTTGCTCAGGCACTGAGAGCTGGCACATATCCGCCCGCACATCCTTCAGCAGGTACCTGAGGGAGGGCAGTCTGTTTTGACACTTTACTGTGGTGGGCAAACTGGTGCTGAGGCGCCTGGGCTTGGTGGGCAGCAGGGCCTGGCTGGCAGGAGAGTACCGCTCCCTAGTACTGCTGGGAGCTGTGGTCATCACTGTCCGTGACCCCATGGCCCTCCAAGGCCCCACGGTGGTGATGCTGCCATCGGTGGAGCCGTGGCCTGTCTCCGAGCTGGGCCTTGTGGTCTGGGCCACAGAGGAGGGTGGGAGTCCGGTCACGGTGAGCCGTCCCGAGGTGAGCACTGTCACACTGGAGGTGAGGGAGGCCCTGGGGTCTGATGTGGGGGCTTGAGTCATCGGGGCAACACCGCTGCTCTGGAGGACGTGGTCCAGGCGCGTCAGAGGGATGCTCCTCTCTGTGGTGGAGGCTGAGGGGTCAAAGAGGGAAGCATGTTAGACTGAAGGAGGTCTCAGGACCAGGAACAGATCTTGTACTGTCCCTGCCTCCTCACCTCCATCCCCCAGACAGCTGTTAAGATGGGAAACTGGGGGTAGGGACTGTCCTCTCGGGCCGGGGTCCTTTTTTTTTTAAGATTTATTTATTTTTATTGCAAAGTCAGATATACAGAGAGGAAGAGAGACAGACAGGAAGATAGTGACCGCAACAGCCAGTGCTGTGCTGATCCTGAGCCAGGAGCCAGGAATTTCCTCCAGGCCTCCCATGCAAGTGCAGGGTCCCAAGGCTTTGGGTCATCCTTGACTGCTTTCCCAGGCCACAGGCAGGGAGCTGGATGGGAAGTGAAGCTGCCAGGATTAGAATTGGCGCCCATCTGGGGTCCTGGCACTTTGAACACAAGGGCTTTAACTGCTAGACCACCGTGCCGGGCCCCTGGGGTCATATTCTTGGACTTTGGGCAGGCAGGTGTGGATATGTCTCAGAGAGGTTGGCTAGGAAGGAAGAGGCAGGTGTAGTGAGGAAAGGAGAGGCTGCTTCTTCAGTAGACACTGCCCTGCCCAACCGCCATCTCTCCTGGCACTTCCCAGACCCTCCTCATTTCTGACAGCCGAAAGATTTTCTCTAAGGGGAACAGAAGGACAATTCCACCTCCACATAGTCAGCTATTAGAGTCCAGAGATGAGGCAGGGAGGCAGCAAAGACCCAAAATTCCAGACAAAGCAGTAAAGATAGGGACAGGCATCTTCCTCAGGCACATCTCAGCCAGCATCTCGGTCCTCTGCTGGCTTTTTTCTAGAAGCCTATGGATGATGAGAGAAGAGAAGGGGTGGGCAGCTTGGTCTGCCGAGAGGACTGTACCAAGCCTGAGCTCTCTGAATAAGGTGGGTGGCAGAGGAAGAGACTGGCCTGGTGCTGGCTCTGCCACAGCCTCCCGCTCAGCAGCGGATAAGACACATAACCGGCTGCCTCAGAGCCAGCTCCTGGACACCCACCTCAGGGCGGTCTTAGAGGGCTGGCCTCAATCCACAGATCACTTCCATCACAACCATTCCCTTCACCTCCTTCCCACCCCAACTCACTAAGGTGCGTAGGAGAGAGACGGCCAGCAGGGGGCAATGAAGAGGCTCTCCAAGCCGAGCAGCAGGCAGCCTCTTCCACAGGTTCCTGGGGCCATGACACCTGGGCAACCTTGTGTTCCAGAAGAGTTTAGAATTGAGGTGAGGAACTTTTGGGGGGGAGGAGCATTCTAGTAACTGGAAAACACTGCAGTTAAACTTGTCTCAGATGGTCCTGCTGAGGTGCCAGGGGAGAACTGGCACAGCATGGTAGGGAAAACAAGAGAAGACAGAGCCATTTCACATTGGCATCCTTACAAAGATGGCTACGATGCGACTTCTGAACTGGAGAGGGGAGGCAGGAGACTGGGCCCCCCGTTTAGGAAAGAGCATTCTCCCCAGTCCAGACCTTGGGAGAACCGAGGTCAGGGCAGCAAGGACTGGGTAATAAGTCTCACAGGAATTGGTTGCATGGCTGCAGGCTCCTTCGCCAGCTCCTCACTCTTTTCATGACTTATAAATGCTGGGGTTGGGGCGAAGGGAGCAGCATGACGGTTCAGTAGGCTAATCCTCCAATTGGTGCCATCATCCCAGATGGGCACCAGTTCATATCTTAGCTGCTTCACTTCCCATCTAGCTCCCTGCTTATGGCCTGGAAAAGCAGTAGATGATGGCCCAAATACTCAAACTCCGGCTTCCACCTGGGAAACCTGGAAGAAACTCCTGGTTCCTGGCCTCAGAACGGCCCAGCTCTGGCTATTGTGACCATTTGGGGAGGGAACTGGTGGATAGATCTTTCTCTGCTGAGCCCATGGAATTTTTTTTTATATTGTGAAACAGATTTTACAATATAAAAAAAAAAATGCCATGGGCTCATGTCCTGGTTCTTGGTTCTTCTCTCTGCTCTTCCTCAAGGGAGACGTTTTATATCCTCTTGATTCTTTAAAACACTTAGTCAAGGGAGAATTCACATCCCATGAAACGTACCCATTCATAGTATAAAGTTCAGTCAGCTGTCGTATCTTGACGAAGTCCTATGTGCAATCAGTGTTCTACAATCAACACGAGAACATTTTCATCACCTCAGAAGGAAACCCTTAGCCCCCTGTCACTGCCCTGTGTCTGCCTCTTTTCCCCCTTGTCATCTGGGTCACCCACATAGATGGCAGGAGCCCAAACACGTGGGCCATTTTGTACTGCTTTCCCCAGGCCGTTAGCATGAGCTGGGTTGAAAAGGAGCAATCAGGATTCAAACAAGCACCCATATGGATTGCCAGGATCATAGGCAGTCACCCACTAGGACAAAATGAAGGCCCCATATGTGACTTTTTTTAAAAGATCTTTCTTTATTGGAAAGTCAGATATACAGAGAGGAGGAGAGACAGAGAGGAAGATCTTTCATCTGATAATTCACTCCCCAAGTGGCCTCAATGGCTGGAACTGAGCCAATCCAAAGCCAGGAGCCTCTACCAGGCCTCTCATGTGGGAAGAGTCCCAAGGCTTTGGGCCGTCCTCAACTGCTTTCCCAGTTCACAAGCAGGGAGCTGGATGGGAAGCAGGGCTGCCGGGATTAGAACCAGCGCCCATATGGGATCCTGACATGTGCAACATGAGGACTTTAGCTGTCAGGCTATCACACGGGGCCATACATGTGATTTAAGGTCTTCTGGTTTTCATCTGCAAAATGGTGACAGTAGGGCCCAGCACAATGGCACAATTGGCTAATCATCATCCCTTAAGCACTGGCATCCGATATAGGTGCCAGTTCATGTCCCAGTTGTTCTACTTCCCATCCAGCTCCCTGCTTGTGGCCTGCAAAAGGAGCAGAGGATGATCCAAAGCCTTGGGACCCTGCACCCATGTGGGAAATCAAGCAGAGATTCCTGGCTTCTGGCTTCAGATCAGCTCAGCTCAAGCCATTGCTGCTATTTAGGGAGTAAATCAGTAGCCAGAAGATCTTTCTCTCTGTCTCCTCTCTATAATTCTGCCTTTCAACTAAAAATAAATTAATCTTTTTTTTTTTAAATAGTGACAGTAATTCCCAGGAAAGAATCAGTAAAAGCACTTTGAAAACCCTTTGGCAGGTCCTGCATTGTGGCTCAATGGGTTAAGCTGTCAGTTAAACTCAAAAGTCCCATATAAGATTGTCTGTTTGAATCCCAGCTGCTTAATTTCTGATCCAGCTCTTTGCTAACACACCTGAGAAAGCCACATAAGATGGCCTAAGGACTTGGAGACCTGCCACCCATGTGGGAGAGCCAGATTGAGTTCCGGGCTCTCGATTTCAGCTCGTCCCAGCCCAGGCTGTTAGGCAGTGAACCAACAGTTGGAGGATCCTTTTCTCTCTCCCCTGCCCTCATCATCTCTGTTATTCTGTCTTCCAACTAAGTTAATCTTTTTCTTAAAGATGTATTTATTTGTATTGGAAAGTCAGATTTACAGAGAGAAGGAGAGATGAAGAGGAAGATCTTCCATCTGCTGGTTTACTCCCCAAGCAGCCGCAACGGCCAGAGCTGAGCCATTCTGAAGCCAGGAGCCTCCTCTGAGTCTCCCACGCAGGTGCAGCGTCCCAAGGGCTTGGGCTGTCCTCTGCTGCTTTCCCAGATCACAAAGAGGGAGCTGGATGGGAAGTGGAGCATCCAGGACACAAACCGGCACCCATCTGGGATCCTGGTGGTGTGTGCAAGGAGAGGACTTTCATCACTGGGCTACTGTACTGGGTCCCAACTAAATGAATCTTTAAAAAAAAGAAAGGATGGAAGAAGGAGAGAAGGGAGGAAGTGTCACACCAAACTGGTGGATTACTATTGTTACGATGCTTGATGTTTGTGGCCTGCAGGGCAGGGAGGCTGACCCATCCATCCCAGTGCCCAGCAGGTTCTCACCTGGGGACACCTCCAGCTGGATTCCCATCATGGGGTACAGCATCCCAGAGCTGTTACGCATGCACCAGTATCGACCTGAGTCCTGTTGCTTGAGGGCATGCATGGTGATGTTGACCACCCTGGCCCGGGCGTCATCTTGTAGCAAGTAGCGGGGCCCCTTCACCCAGAGCCGGGTGAACCCTGGCTCACATTTCTTCCTCCTGATTTTGCACCAGACCTTGCCATCCACACGGTTTTTGCGTCCCTTGTAGGAGCACTGCACGGACAGCGTCTCCCCCTCCCGGTGCTGCACTCTGGTGTACACGTCGACCGGAGGACCTGGGGAGACAGCAGCTCGTCAAGACAGGAGGAAGGCAGCTTGGACTTGAAAATAGTGGTGCGGGGAGAGAAAGGGGGCATGTGGCCCAGCTGTGGCGGAACTCGCAGTTTTGGGGAGGAAGTACATCCCTGCCCTAGGGAACCCCCTCCGCCCTGGTCTGGTGGGAACAGACAGACCCTGTGTGGCCAGTGCCCATTGTGACACAGGTGTCACAGGCCTTTCCCTGCCTCTCCCAACCTGATGGTGGAGACAGGGAATTCCCAGTCTAAGGGAGGAAACAATCAATGCGTAGCTTTCTCATAGAAAACATTTTCTAGGAACTTTGTGAAGACAGTGCAGATACAGGTGGGTCTTAGGATGTTCCAACACACCAGGACTGGAAGATTCTACAGTTACGTATGGTTTGTCTGCACCATCTTGTTCTGTGTGCCCAAGATGTGCCTCTTGCCCTCTGTAATCTACCATCTGGTGGGGAGACCAGGACATGCAGAGACCAGGACAGGGGCAGCGACTTGGCTCAGGGGACAGAGAGGAGACAGCTATGGTGGGATCCCTCTGTCTATCCACTGCAAGTTCATCAGTCGCTTATCTACTGCCATCCCAGAGCCTTTCACAAGTGTGCACACACACGCGCGCGCACACACACACACACACACACACACACACACACACACACACACACACAGTCTCTCCCTAGTGGTATGGAATACAAAACACACATTGTAGAATCAAAAATAGGAGTTGGGTTAACACCCTGGTTCCAGGCCTCAGTGCCATGCAACACCAGCATCCCATATCGGAGCACCAGTGCAAATCAAGGTTACTCTGCTTCCAACCCAGCTCACAGTTAATGTGCCTGGGAAAGTAGTAAGAGATGCCCCAAGTGGCCCAAGTCCCCTGCCATCCACATGAGAGACCCAGAAGGAGTTCCAGGTTCCTCACATTGGCCTGGCCCAGCTCTGGCTATTGTAGCCATTTGAGAAGTGACCCAGCAGGTAGAAGATCTCTTGTGCCTCTCTCTCTCTCTCTCTCTCTCTCTCTCTCTCTCTCTTTTTCTGTCACCCTTTCAAGTAAATCAAACAACATTTATCTCTGTATATATGCATAAACCCAGGCGGCACCACCACAATGTGGGCAGCTCCCTCACCCTCTGTGCTATTTTATCTGTCCGGAGGGAATCACATGGGCCTCCTCATAGGCTTCTGTAAGGATTACACTCCAGGATCTTGTCTTGAACTTAGTAGATACCCAAGGCTCAGTGCACACCGTTTTCTCCAATTGCAAGTAGTTTCCCAATGGAGAAATCAGAGAGAGCTATTATGATGCCAAGGACCCAGGAACCCGCAGATCTGTTCCAGTTTCCATTCTAGCAGCCACTACAGCCGGGCAAGGCTGTGGGTCAGGGAACACCTGTATGAGCAGCATAATGTCACCTGTCAACTAAACAGAGGGGCCCAACAGGTGTTGGCAGAGGTGGGTGGCTTAGGGAAGGGCCATGTCCATTTGCATCTTACACCCCTCTCATGACTCTTCCATTAGACTGGGAGCTAGATACACAGGGTCTGTGTCCCCAATAGACTCAGGCAGGGTTGTGGGAGAAGGCGGGGAGTACCTGAAAAGTGGGTTTTGGCAACTCCTACTACACCCAGAACTCAACAGGAAGTGGTAAGTTGGTTGCCATCGTAGCAAGGGAGGCAAGAATGGGCAAGGCCCCTTGGGAGCCTCCATAGCACTGGGGTGGGATAGGTTACCTTCAGAACAGGGGAGCAGGGACCGGATGTGGCATCAGCATTCTGAGAAAAGGGGAGTTCAAAGCGCTCCATGATGCAATGACTCTTGTCAGAAAAAGAAAAGCTTTCCCGACAGAGGCCAAGAACCAGTGAAGGCTAACTCAGGGTGCAGGTTCAGGCCCTGAAGGTGCCCAGCAGATAAGAGGGCCACGGTAGAGGGCCCTGAGCTTTCCATACCTTGTGGGGCCTGGCCTGGCTTTGCTGGGGTGAGGAAGCAAATTTGAGGACAGAACACGCCTGCTGATCTCTGATCAACAGCTGCTGAACCAGCCCCAACCCACCAAACTTGAAATGAGGTCACTGGGCAAGGAGAAGCAGCGAAAGAAGACCACGCTGGAAGGCCCACATAACCACTCCCTCCCCTACGTCAGCCCAGCTCGCTCCTTCTCTCACCTGAGACGCAACCCTGTGGCCACAGCAACAGCAGCAACAGCAGCAGCACCACGGGGGCCATGGCCCCATCCAGTCGGAGTGATCACAGACCCAGCCACAAAGGGCCAGAGCCCTCCGGGAATCTAAGGCCAGGGCACAGGCCAACGCAGGACATGTCACTGAGCCAGGCAGACCAGGAGCTGGGCTTTTAAAAGTGAAATTGCTCATTTAGGGAAGTGAGGCAGTGCAGGACCCACTGCCATGGGCAGACCGCAGGGGCCAGCTGAGCCTATCAGGAGGACCGCAGGGGTGGCAGTTTCCGCCCTCTTCCTCGGAACTTCAGACAGGTGTGGCTGCTCCACCCAGCGTGGGGCCCCCTGCCCAGGGGAGGCTGCTGGGGTTAGACAGCGTCCCCGCCCTTCCTGGGCCCCCTCCCTGGAAGGAGGGGTAGGGGGTGTCTCCTGGGTTGAGGCAGGGGTACCCCTGTGAGGATTCTGGGACCTCTGGCACAAACTTCTGGACTCTCCTGGGGTCAGAAAGCCGAGGCAGGATTCTCAGGCTGCAGAGGGACCCCTGGACTACACACACACACACACATACACACTCACTCACTCATAAAGCAAGTCCTCGTCAGTGCCCCTTTATTCACTCATTCATTGGCCCGATACATTCATTCTGAAGCCCAACGATGTGCCTTTCTCCCAGATCTCTGGGCTACTTGCCAAGGTGCCTCCTACTCATTGTGGCCAATAACCTCACACGTGCTGTCTTATTTTTGTCACAGTGGTTAGGGGTGGGGTGGGGAGGGGAAGGGAGGAAATGCAAATTGTAAGACTCAGAGCATCAGGGTTGTTATTCGGGAGGAGCTACTGGGCCCTCATCCCTGAGTAGTGGGGAGCACTCATACCTTGACTTCACTCTCTTACACACACATACTCTCCACACTCCCCGCCTGTGTGCCTACACACACACACGTTCTCCACACTTCACATTCTCCCCTCCCCCACCATGTGCCTGCACACACACACACACACACACACACACACACACCGTATGCACACACCCACCCCAGCTGCCTTTCTCACATCCTCTGTCCATCTCTCTCCACCTCCCCTCCTATAGTCTACTCACCCACCAGCTCTCTCTAGACTACTCCTTTCTCTGGCAGGCTTCCCACGGCCACTCCCCCAGTGCCTCCCCTCACCCACTTCTCAGAACGCCACGCCTCCAGAGCCCTTCCTTCCCTGGCCCCGGCCCCCGTCGGCACACAGGCATGCCCTCTCTGCTTCCTGCCGCTCAACCCTATCTCTCCTCTACAGCCAGTGACTCCAGCTGAAATGACCCAGCACTTGGCCCGAGACCCCGCCCTTCCCTTAGAATGCTTGGCACTGAAAATCAGAAGGCTTGACTTCTGCCATCCAGTGGCTGTGTCATCTCCTTCAGGGGTTGCGGGGACCACAAAGACCCCCGGGGCCACGTGGGTTCCCCTATTCACCTGCATCATCTTCCTAGAGTGCAAGTCCTGGGGCGAATCTGGCCATTGTCTTAAACTGAGCTTGGACGTCAAACTCCAACCAAAGAACTTTCATCTTTGCTGACCTCAAACTTTGTACTCTCTGGACGCAGTCATTCATGTATTTGTTCTTTTCAGGGTTTTTATTATTTATATATTTATTTCAGAAGGAGAGAGAGAGAACACTCTGATCTGCTCATTTACTCCGCAAAGGCCCACAATAACCAGGGCTGGTCCAGACTGAAGCCAGCTGCTGGAAATTAAATCCAGGTCTTTCACATGAGTGTCAGGAACCCAAGAGTCCACCTTAGCAACAAGCTGGTATCAGGAGCCAGAGAAAGGAATTGAACCCAGGTATTCTGAACAGGAAGTAGGGTCTTATCTGCAAGGCCCAAAGCCCACCCCCGTCTGTGCCTCATTGCTGTGTCCAGAGTGGGCACTGGGGATCTAAGAATGAGATGCACCTGTCACTCCCTCTCTCTCCGACCACAGAGGACGTGCTATGCTTCTTCATTCCTCCTTGCCTTGCTGACAGCTTCTCCCAGTCCACAGCTGGCTGAGAGCAGATGCTCCTCACCAACCCCTGACACACAAGGTGTTTTCCTCATCCCTTGCCTCCATAGGCACAGTGAAGGGCCCCTGGAGCAAGTGAGGGAGGCACTGTGACAATTGGGCCAGTTGGGACCCAACCACTCATTGGCTGGTACAGGAAATATCCACATCTCCTCCAGGGAATTTGGAAGTAGGTATCCAAATTTCCAGGAGGGAGGAGGATGGGAGGAATGTATACTTACAATTTTGTGTGCAAAATAATTTAAGATAGCATACTTTTTTTCTTTCTTTTTTTTTTTTTCAACTAAAAATTAAAGCCTAAAGACCAGCATTGTGGCACCCTGGTCCAAGAACCAGTCTGAGCCCCAGCTGCTCTGCTTCTGATCCAGCTCCCTGCTAACGAACCTGGAATAAAGGTAGAAGATGACACAATTGTTTGGGCCTCTGTTATCCATGTGGGGGTTGTAGGAGTTCAGGATGGCGTTCCTGGCTCCTGGCATCAAACTGGTCCAGTTTTGGCTGTTGCAACCATTTGGGGAGTGAACCAGTGAATATCTACGAGCTGTACTTCAGCTGTACTTCAGCTGTGCTGAGTGGGGGAGTCTTGACACACCCATAGCCAGTTTTTAAACTGTAAAGGCAGATCAGATTTATGGAGAGAGAGAGACAGAGAAAGATCTTCCATCTGCTGCTCCACTCCCCAAGTGGCTGCGATGGATGGAGATGAGTTGTTCCACAGCCAGAAACCAGGAGCTTCCTCCAAATCTCCCACATGAGTGCAGGGTCCCAAGACCTTGCACCATCCTCCACTGCTTTCCCAGGGAGCTGGATGAAAAGTGAAGCAGCCAGGCTTTCCGGCCTTCCCGCTTCCTCAACCTTCCTCTTTTCCGCGTTGATCTCCCACCACTTCTATCCCGTTCCTGCGCCGCTGGAATAAACCTCCAAAGATACTTTTGCATCTGGTGTTTTCGGCTCACGAAACCTGCCTAACTGAGCAGCTTCCAAGGCTGACCATATCTACATCCTTATGATCCTGTAACTTTGAATACATTCACTGATAGACACAGGAAAGCAGCAGACACAACCGTGTGGTGTTGCAGTGACCGATACCCCAGTGGCATTCAGCGAGCCACGATCTAAACTCCACTGGCAGCCGGAACTCCACCAGCACCAAGGTGGGAAGGGACGTTTACCGGGAGCTCAGGAGTTCAACTCAAAGAACTGTCCAATCCTGCTGGTCTGTTTGATTTGACCAAGAGCAGAGACAGAGCAGCAGGTGCCAGACAGGCAGTGCAGGGAACAGGATCAATTTAACAGCCCAGTCCATCCCCTACAGCCAAATTGGGTGTCATTTTGTACGTGTGGGGAAAACAGTGAGCTACACATGTGCTGAGCTGGGAACAGACTCGCTGAGCTCAGTGCATTGCAGTGTCCCACAGGGAAACAATACTGACTTTGGCATTGTACAGATCAAAATAGATCTGTGTGGCCCTCAGACCTAACAGCCAACAGGTTCTGACAAGATCAGTATCAAGGGAGTGGTACAAGTGACTGCAAAGAAAGTACCAGGTACCAACTGCAATAAGTAAAATTGAACTGTAGATCTGTGGGTAACACAGCTTAGAAACCTATCCCAAAAAGAATCTGATAACCAGAAGCACAATGACCAAGGGCAAAAGAAACAGTGGCACAATGAATGTTACTGAAGACTCCCCTGCAAAGCAGCAAAACCCTTTGCAAACCTCAAAGTTTACTGAGGAAGACATCGAGAAAATGGGAGATAAAGAATTGAAAGTGCTTCTTATAAAGCTACTTATCAATTATGAGAAGTACATGAATCAGGTACTCGAGGAATTCAGGGAATGTATTACACAGCAAGTGAAGCAAATGAAGGCTGATGATACATCAGAAATGAAGAATAGAGTGGAGCAAATTGAAAGTACAGTGGGGAGTCTCCAAAATAGAATGAAGGAGGCAGAAGAAAGAATCTCAACATTAGAAGACAATTCCTGTCACCAGAGGGAAAAAAGAAAAAAGCTGGAAGCAGAGCTGGATCAGACCCAAAAAAGGATTCAAGAATTGAAAGACACTATTAAGAGGCCAAATATAAGAGTTATGGGAATCCCAGAAGGTGCAGAAAGAGAAGCTGGGGTTAAGGGTGTGTTCAATGAAATACTAAGGAAAAATTTCCCTAATCTAGAGATAGAATTGGGAAACAAGATCCAGGAGGGATACAGAACTCCCCACAGGCTTGACCCAAAGCGATCTTCACCAAGACACATGATTATCAAGCTCTCTTCAACTGAACATAGGGAAAAGATCCTTAGATGTGCACGTGAAAAAAATCAACTGACATATAAAGGATTGCCAATTAAGCTCACAGGAGACTTCTCACAGGAAACTCTACAAGCAAGAAGAGAATGGAGTGACATATTTCAGATTCTAAAAGCAAAAAATTGTCGGCCCAGGATAACATACCCAGCAAAGCTTTCTTTTGTCTTTGAAAATGAAATAAAATTCTTCCACAGTAAAGAAAAGTTAAAAGAATTTGCCTCTTCCAAACCTGCCCTACAAATGATACTTCAAGATGTTCTCTTGACAGAGAAGAGGAACAGCACCTACCAAAACCAAAGGCAAATGGGAAGAACATCCCAGTAAAATGACAACAGAAGACTAAACCAATGAACAACCCATTGCTAAAATGACAGGACCAAATTACTACCCATTCATATTAACCTTGAATGTAAATGGGTTAAACTCATCAATGAAATGTTATAGATTAGCGAATTGGATTTTTTCCCGTTTTAAAAATTTTGTTTTTGACAATCTTTACACAGTTAATTAGGGCACAAGGGTTTAAGGGCTATAGGAAAGTGGGAAAGACGATCATTTCCACATTTTTTTCCCCAATATCTGGGGTGAAAAGGGAGGTAAAGGGAGAAGCCCCACCCAGTTTCCCTCCCATCTTAGGGCCCCAATGTTGGGCACGCTCCAGGGGTCTTGCTCAAGTGGTTTTGAATTGCTGTCAATTTCGCCATTCCAAGCACAAAGAAATTGCTGCAGAATCCACTGGTTGACATATCTTGTCTATCTTGGAGTCTCCATTTATCCTGTTTTTCACTGCCAACATATGGCTGGAGTGGTTTATTGATTTGTCCTCTTGTCTTTTCATGGTTGGGGATCTGAGTCTGGCAGTTCAATTGAGGTGAACCCAGACCAGGTTCTTGTGTGCTTGCAAGTACGGGGCCTGGTACAGTCCATCCCCCAATTAGCTGGTGGTTGCGAT